AAAATAACTATTTTACAAAGAACATCGCTCAAAATGGCTTATATATCGACACGTTTGTAACCACAGAGGGGGTAGGCAGGGTGCAAATTGCAGCGAGCTACTGCACCACATTTAGCCAAAACAAAAAGGATAAGAAAAGAGAAAGTAGTATGGTTGGTAAGGGACAACTGACTAGCCCATTGACTACAGTGTAGGCCCTACACAATCACTTTCCAATATCACATCGCCTTCTACGACATGCTAGGTAAGTAAACACAGTTGCCACATTATGTTTTGATATAAGACCCAAAAAACATGGAACCTATATATTCCCAGATCCACATTAATATTTACATCAAGATTATTTGAAATAGTCTTTATAAACAGCAAGTCGATATTTATCTTCTAAGCATCATCCGCCACCAGGTGTTAATAAAAAGCCATACCTTCAAATGTAACACTTTATTTACATCCATTTTGTTATGTTAATATTTTAATATATGCAGTATTAATGATAATATTATATTTAATAAAAAAACAAATGTCTACGTCTTGCGACATTGAAGTGTACGGGAAATCACCACAAAGACATTTTTTTTTAAATAATTATGATATTAAAACGCGTTAGTTTATCTAAAATGAAGCGAAAATTCAATTAACTTAAATTAAAAAAAAAAATCAAAACAGTGTCATTGCCAGCGATTATTAAAAAGCGAAAAACAATGTCGGGGATAATTAAACATTCTGAATTTCCCATACATTACGAACTAAAGATGCAACTGAACATCATTCAAATGTAATCAAAACAGAGTTCTTATAACAAATATTATTAAATACATGCAGAATATTGAACTACAATAAATAAATGGAAGTACTTAACTAATAATTTATTATGGTAAAACAATAAAATTAAAATGTAATATAATATATTTAAAATGACAAACATGCCTAAAGCAAAAGTAACCTACGTTAACAAGGTTTAACAAATTTAAAATTAAAGTGGATAATGTTAGAAGTGATTAGTGGAAAAATAACAAGTTTAACCTACTCTAACCTGTATTTAGCTAAGTACAAATCTACTTTGATTTTAATTTAGCATTAATACTAAACCTAAGACGCGTCTCAATTTAATTTTCTAAGTAATTTTTGGCAAATCTAGGCAGTATAACAACTTTAGGAAGCAACACTGATATACATCGTAAACATAATAGTAACCGATTCTATAGTTATTTATAGATTTGGTTATTTATTATTATTATTCCTATTATAATCTATAACAATATTTTTTTATTATGCATCGACGCAATCAATAAAATATAGAATTTTAACAAACATTATTTTAATAATAGTATTTCTAAAAAATAATATAAAACTATGAATAGGCACTTATTATTTAAGTAGTAATAAAAAAAATATCCAACAAAATATAAAGGCCCCTACATATATATAGTGCCAAGATTTTGAGATATAGCGTGTATTTATTTGTAAAAACCAAATCTACTGTGAAACTGGGTCGGAATTGTCTTCAGAGGAGACCGTTATCGTAATGTAGTTGTGATGCGTCACAAGTTGAAATGACATTTTATTTGATATTTAAAAATTTAGGCCGCATATGTGATCATATTTTTAACAGTGCGCAACCATATAACTATGAAGGAATCGTACGAAATAATTTATTATAAGGGCCGTTCAAGTATTACGTAAGCAGGCTTGAGAGGGGTGTGGGGGTGGGGGGTAAATTTTCCTAAAACTTCTTTGCTGACAAAGGGAGCACAGGGAATATTAAAAATCTTACGTAAAATTATAAAAAAAATAAAAATATTTTCATACAATATTTATAATCTAAATTAATAATACTATTTTTATTATTAATATCGAAGAAAGAATAGGAAGAAATAACTTCTTTCATCTTCTAATTTTCAATCTTCTAATTTTATTGAAACACTTATAATTTAATTTAAAAAATTTATTGAATCTTTTAAATTTTAACTTTAATATTTAATAAAAGTTTTGAAAAAAATCTTAAGTCTTATCACCTGGGGGAGGGGGGAGTTAGCAATTTTCTTATTTTTGCTTATAAAGGGGAAGGGGGGATCGAAAATCATAGAAAGTTTGCTTACGTTATAAATGAACAACAAATGGCAACACCATAGTAACAATGTGTCGGTCTTAATACATTTATCGACAAGTAAACTATGCGCTCAAGATATTTTTTTTATTGTTTAATTATTTTATTGACTACTTCACTCTCTAAACGTAAATATACATGACTAAACAGTAATGAATAAAAAATAAGACTTTTTTTAAAAAGAAAATATATAATATACCAGGTGAATTTGTAACCAAGAGAAAAAAAAATTGGTTGTAATAGGTGAATGAAAAAGAAGCATACGGTAACGATATTTTTTCAAAAAAAAATGAAAAATATCTATGCCAAAGTTTCAACTTCACTCAAACCACAACAATACAATGTCCACGTAATATATTATTTAAAAAATAAAAATGTCACCTGTTATATACAACAAAAAACGGACGTAATTAATAACAATTTAAATAAAATTAATTATTTTTTAAACTTATTTTTGATTTTTGCACTACCGCACAACACACTAAAGCTAGTGTGTGTGAAATTTGATGCAAAATGGCACTTGCCAAGCTTGCGTGTTTAATATAAAATTGTGACACGAGACAGTCTTCACGATTACTGTAATAGTTTCATAAAACCGGACAAATAATATAACGTGAGGCTGTTGTTTACTGATAGACATCACATTTTGCTTTGCAATATTCAACCTTCAGTTAGAGGCATAGAGTTCGATTCGAATCTTTTTGAGATTTGAATGTAATAAGGGACTGAACGACCCGAATGACCCGATTCAGGAACAGGTCACTTGAAACGAATGAATGTCTCAGATGTCGTTAGTTGTGACTAACGTTTATTTATTTTCTTTTGAGCCAGCGCGTGTTTTTTTTATCTCTTTGATTTCATCACTAATTTGTTAGCTAGCTAGTAACGACAATACAAAACAATAACTAATAGTTCTCTTAAACAACGAATTTAATATTACGTTTTTGATATTACACCTGTTGGAGAAGAAACCTATTGTCGCAACTGGTTTCATAAAAGAATTATAACTGGTTTCATGATTGCGTTAAAGCAAAGATAACGCTTCTTTAACACAATGTACTAAATATTTTTATACATTCAGGGTTATTTTGCAATTATCGACCAAATTTGCAAAAAAGGTTTACAATAAGTAATATAGGCAATATGGCACTTTTATCGTTTAAATTCAAAATGCGTGGTAATGAATTATTTTAACTGATTTTACTTCGCACGCACACATTCGTAAGGGTTGGTTAGGTCGGTAGGCAAAAACGTTGTTGCCCTTATATAGAAAGCCTTATTTACTCGTATTTTCAAAAACTACAATATTTGAACTTAAGTTTAAAATTTGGTCACTCTTTGTAAAATAACCCTGTATTATTTAATACATAATAATACCTATCAAATTCGTCTTCTTTGGAAATAGTTCTATATCGATAATTCTACTGAAACACTTGTATACTGGCACTAAGACCATACAATTTTAATTTATAATATCTTAAAGTTTTCATTGGGTATAAAAGTAAAAGTTATACAGCTAAATGTATTTTAATATTTTAGTTTTTCAATCGCCGAAAATTATTAAAAAAAAATCTATTATAAAAAAGAGTTAAAATGGAAAGGGAATTTATTCATTTGGAAGCATTTTTTTTTTAGTGGCAAATAGTTTGGCGTGGAGTACTTAATTTATGATTTAAATTATTTAAAAAGAAATATGGATTTCCGCTTTAAAAGTAGATCAAAAACATTTTTTTTTTACTTTAAAATAGAAAAAAATACCTAATTATATATAGTTGTTAATATTATGAAATGTACAGTAAAATAATTGTAACTAAAATATTTGGAACTATTTACTTTAAGAGGATTGGTAAGAAGCTGTAAATTTTCATACAAAATGCGATAACGTTTTTTTTCCCCCGTCACACTGTGATGACAACTGTCAAAACAATTAGATCAACCGGCCTACTCCCGACAAAAAATGGCTAAATATTCAAACGCTACTCGAAAAAGTCTCATGATGTCACAGTCACCTTGACATAAAGTGATACGAGACAGCACGAGACGTAACGGCATCTTAAAATTGAGCATCGCTTTAGTATATATGGACACGAATCAATCAAGTTTGATTCGAACTCAGGGTAATTTCGTATTTCCAAAACTGGTGTAAATCGAAGCTTGCACAATCAGGGTAGTTCAAATAACGAAAAAAGAAAGAAGTCTTCAGCTGTTCGCCATTAGATGGCGCCCGTAGTAGCAAGCAATGTGAATGCTTTTTCTTTATAATTTTCTCCTATTTATTTAGTAAAAATATTTAAGACGTGAAATTTTTAACTAATTAAATATAATCTTCGGATAGAAATATCCGAATGTGCCTAACAGCGCCGATAACGCATGCCCGGAACTCGATCCTGTCTCTCGATTCAAATCGGTTCAAGGATGAGCTTTAAAAATCAACTGGTATATAAGTTTTTAAAACCGACGGAATTGAGTTCTGAATCTCTGAACAAAAGGTTGTTCGTATTCCTGGAACCGAAGCTAGCACAGAATATAATGGATGTTTAATTTGGAATTCTTAGAATGTATATCTTTAACTACCCGCCACCAGGTGGCGCTCGCAATTGCAAGCGACGAGAATGCTTTTTTATTTAGTAAAAATATATAATTTATTAAAAATAATCTAACCAAAGGCATTAAGAATTTTACTATGATATAATCAGCCGGACGTGCGTAACAGTGCTGATAGACTTGATCTTAGTTCGATATTGTTTCTCCATTCAAATTAGGTTATGAGCTTTTAAAATTAGATTCGAAACAAAGTGAGTTCAAATCGAAACCAATAACAATGTCGGGAGTAAGACTGCGGGTGGCCACTGATTGAACCCAGTTTCCCTTGTGGGTGCCAATGAAGTGACGCCTAAGCAACGGAGTCTGGTGGTCCATTCTTCTCTGAGGCGGCAAAGGCAGCCTTGAAGTTCAACGTGGACAGTTGGCTGACTGGTACGTCACCCTGGTCAGAATAACTGTTCGAGCCCCTCACCGGACCCCACCTACTGAAGTGCGTGGTGGTTGGCCCTTGGGCTTCTATCTCCTCGATGTCAATACTGTCCAGTGTACTGACGCTCTTGTACGTGTCGTACTTGCCGCTCAGAGAGGGCATGTCGATCATAACCGCCTCCATGGCAATGTCTTGCTTCAGGTTCTGCTGTGAGACGCTCCTCTTCATCACCTCTTCGGTCTTCTGCGTCAGGAGATGCTCGCTCATGCTTTGCCTGTTCAACTTCTTATCGACCCTTGTTGGACTTATGTTTCTGGCCGAAGTGGGCACCCTGTCGACCGGTTTGGACCTTTCGAGACTCCTTCTCGGTTCCTCTTCGATCCTGTTGACGGTGTGTTCGTTCTCGGACATATCTGTACCGTACGCCATGATCGGTTCGCGTCGGAAATCGTCCGATCCGCGGAAAACCGAGAACCCGGATATCTTTTCGGACACCAGCTTCAAATTCGACGTGGACCCGTATCTTTGAGCCTTGGTGAGTTTACCCCTCCTGGAGGTACTACTGGCGCCTGTCACGGCCGACTTGGTGGTCCTGTAGTCGGTGGGACTGATGCTGCGTCTCCTATCCATGTTGGGCGTGTTAGAGGTGGAGAGTGTCAGGTTGAGACTGGTCCTGGACCGTGATAGCGACCCAATGAAAGAGGTCCTCTGTTGGTAAGCGCTCAACACATGTTGAAGAACGTTCCTAGGCCAGGGCACGTCGAGGTACAAAGACCTGTCGGGTATGGGCCGGCCGTACTTTTTCTCGTGGTCATCTAGTTGCTTCTCGAAGATTTTAAGGAGGCTCTGTCGTGAGAAATTGTGCGATTTAGCGTACGCTCTCTCACGTCGGGACAGCACAAACACATACTCCTTTTCAACCTAAACCTACACATCCTAACGCTGACCATTTGAAATGCGCTGAAATCTTGGATCCCTAACTTGGTGTTTAATAAAATAAAACTAATTTCACAGACTTTATCTTGTTTAATTTTGACTCAATTTTAAAATCCCAATTACTGGATTGAACCAAAACTTAATAATTTCAAATTGGAGGGTAGCCCTGACTAACTATCACATCAGGACGTTGAACACCTCAATCCTGTTATCCCTCCTCCCTCGAGTGCTGAGTGTTGCAACGTGCGAAATCAAACGCGATTAAACCATAAAATTAATTTTAATCAATTAGTTGTTTTCATGATACAGTTGTTGATAAGACGGTTAATTTTTAGATGGATAAACTATCCTTATTCTAGCAAATAAATTATATTTATTTCTACCCCCATTGCCATATATTTATAGTTTATACAAGTTAATTTTGGCATTAAACGTGCGAAAATCAAAGAAGTTAAATAAGTATCAAAAGAAAATTTCAGCGTTAAATTTCATGGCATTTCAAAAGCCGTTACAATCAACATGGCACCATCTTACACACCACCACCATTTAGTTTCGGTAAGCTATGCACACAGCATGCCATTCATGCAACATCGCCCAATATATAAGTTACAAAACGAGTCACTTGGCACATAGTCGATAACAGTAACAATTACTTATTCTTATAACTTATAAAAATTCTGACGTGTAATTAAATTAAATTAGTTTAGCAGCAGTAAAAATTGTATTTTTTTTAAAAAGGACCCACGGGAAGCCATCCTAATAGAATGATGAAATTAACTGTGAACCGTGAAAAGGGGTGTAGACTGGCATTTTTATATTAAAATCTTATTATTATCCTATATAACACTGTTGCAGGTGTGATTCCTACAGGCAAACAATTAACACCATGGTTACACAACCCCACAGCTGTATTAGCAAACAAGTGGTCTGATATCATATCCCAGTGACTCGCTTAATAACCGTTGTAATGATTCATGCTGGAGACATGCAAAATCACGTGCATACTTCACGCTGCTGTATATGTGAGAGTGGAAACGACTTTCAATTTGTATGCATATATTAAGCAAATAAATGAAGTTATTGTATTAAAATTAACCTTAAAGGACCAAGTGGTACAGTGAATAAAGGATTAGATGCGATCGAATCCCGCAATTAAAACATTATACAGGATAATTTTTCAAAGAGTTGCCATAAGGGAGGCCATGTGCAGCAGTGTACTTTTATAGGCTGTAATGGAGGGTTGGAAAATGGATGGTAGTTTTATGTATTTTAAATCTAGAGGAGTTGTGATTATGTCTTTCACAACATCCGAAGCCCACCTTCGATTTTATTATGTAAAAATTACATGAATTACTGTCATATTTAGCACAACCATTAATGAAGTTCAACATATAAAGTAATTAAAAAACAAATTAAAAAAATGAAAATCATTTCCGCTCCCATACCTTATAAAACATGCAATATCCACATTTACTCCTGTAAATGTTATAATTATGACGAAATGATATTTTACAGATAGTGATAAGTGATCAAAATCTTTTGTATTTAATGTAATTTTTTGTATTGTGTATATTTTTTACAGTAGCAAAAAATATAGAGAAAAAGAATAGCGTATGATAACCAGTGTTGCCAGATAAACGATATTTTTTTTAAATTATGACACTATTATAGATACGAATATTCAAATAAATCTGGCAATACTGGGTTATATGTTAAGACAAGCAAGTGTTGGAGTGTTATATTGACTAACTTCCTGTCCAGCGAGTGTTTACATTGATTTGTGATACAACAGAATTTGTGTTTGTGTGCTTGTGTGTGCATATGTTGACTTACCAACTTCCTATCTCCGAGGGTGGCCCTCCATTCCTTCAGCTCGAGAGCGTATCTCTCCTCGACGGCCTTCATCTTGCTGCTCTCGTGGTTCATGAGAGCCTTGCGCTTCTCATTCTGGTACTGTTCCAGTTCCCGGAGGAGAGCCTGTGGATTCGACCGTACGGTGTTGGTTATAGGTGTCATAATTGAGCGGACTGCGTTGTTTTCCAGGAACATTCTTTACATTATTATTGAAATGATTAGAAAGTCAAAATAATCGACTGGTTTTATGGTTTTAGCATTTCATCCAGAAACCAGAAAAAAAATAACGTAGTCCTTGTAATAATGCCTAGATCTATCTACCTTATAACCAAAATGCATAAGATACTTTAAATTTCTCTTCGCAATTTTTAAAATTTTTATGTTTTCTGGAATTATTAAAAAAGATTAAAAGCTTAAAAAAAATATTTTATTTTACTTAATATTTGAGGTGTTACTGATACCATTTCCATATTGATTACAGCTTTTATTTTTTATTCTTATTAGGAAGATGCAGCTGCCCATCATGTAAATCACGACACTTTACTCACATAAATATTTGTTATAATAATATGTACTGATAATTTTTTGAATTTTTGGAAAGGTTTTGTAGCATAGTGGCTGAGCTCTTGGTTGTGGCGCTGCAGAGCAGCCGCTTCGAATACCGCACAGAACAAGTGTTTGTAGGTCCTATAAATAAGTGTTCCTGGTCTAGATGTGCATACTTGTACAATTTATGTATATTAATATCCTCCACGATATAGGAATAAATCCTGTGGTAGAGGTAACATTTTACAAAAAAAAAATTAACAATTTTTTTCAAAAATATGTAGTTACCGTTACCATTTCAGCCTATCAAAGTCCACTGCTGAACATAGGCCTCCCTCATAGATTGCCTCATAGGGGAGATATTTGCCATAGTTGTAATGTTACTGTTGATTTGAAAATTTCACCTCTCAGTGGGTCATGTGCTCCTGGTAGATTATCTTCTATACATCCATCCATTACAGCCTATTAAAGTCCACTGCTGAACATAGTCCCCCACAGACTGCTTCATAGGGGGGACTATTTGCCATAGTTGCCACGCTTGGCAAGCTGGTTGGCGACCGCAGTTTTTTATATTTAGTCGTTATTAGGAAGACGTTACTGCCCATCTGATTTATTTCACTCTGTCGCCTCTTACGTCTTAGGACACCCACGGGATTATATGGGGTAGTGAAAATTCTTACACGGTAAATATGTAGTTAAAGTACCATCCATTTACTCGTTTATATTTTTTTGCTAACCATTCATAATGTAGTTACATAGAATCCATCAACTCAATTGCCGAAACCTTCGTAACGAATTTCATTGCACAATATGATTACAAAGTTAGATAAAACACAAACAACGGATACCTCTCCTGCAGCCTTGAGTTCTTCCTTCGCCTTGGCGTGCTTTGTCGCCAACCTCTGCTGTTCAGCTCTATACCTTCGCTTCTCATTCTCTTGGAACTGAAACGAGTGGGGGAAGGTTTAAAAATGTCACATAACAGATTGTACGATGGCTTCTAGCTGGTACGGCGTCGTTTTTCTTATTATATAGAATAAGGGTGACAAACGAGCACACAGTCCACCCGATGGTAAGTGGATGCCTTGGCCCATAGACATCTACATTTGTCCGCAATGAAGAAACAAAATGCAGATGTGTTGTTACTCCCGAGGACTAAGATGCCTAGCGCCGGCCATTTCACAATAGCAGTCGCAACAGCTATTCTCACGTCACATGCCGTTGTTGTTTGTCTATGAATTCGTTAACTATATTATAATTCCTATGTCACTTTCACAACAATGATGATTCAAAAGAGAGACACCCCATATGTATAAAAACCACCAAGCCGTTCAGGGTACAATGCGTATCAAAGAAACAGACGAACATACATACATGCATACACTTTAAAAACATAACCCTGTGGCAGTCGGGTGCAGATTGTAAGTAGAGGATGAGGTACCTTCTTGAGCCGCTTATGGTCATTCGTATGACTTCTTCTTCGTGTGCAGTTGATTCAGGTGGTTTCATCCAAAGACGTATTAAAAAAGATAGACAAGTTACACACTAACATTATTGTATTTTAAAGTGGCGCAGATAGTACTATATCTTACGTACAGTTATTTATTATGACACGTTGCGCTAACAAAAAGAGACAAATGATACGAAATACCTATCGTTAGAAAAAGATGAATATACATCATTAGTTGCGTATTGATTGCTGCCGAGCGCTCATTGGGGCGAGCGCGTGACACAACCGATATGGAAATGAACACACTAGCTAGCGTCAAAGTTTGCACTAGCGGTTAGTGTTGAAATAATAAAACCAATGGACCAAAACATCTATATTCAAAATATTAATGAGACGTTTTTCTTGTCTCTAACAGTTGCCGTGTAATTTGTGCACCACCTAAAAACACAGGAAGGCATTTTTACCACGAATAACTAGAAGATTTACCGCGCTGTAGCGCATGTATCGCCGCGACGCGAGAGCGTGTCCGACTTAATTCGAGTCGGGCATTACCTGACCTTCGTATTGCCATTTTAGAGCGAGTATGACGTATCTATACTTTATAAACATCTTAGGTTTCATCAAGTACTATTAGATTTCACTAGTTCAAGCATGTTAGGAGAGTGACTTGCTTGATGGACTTTGGGACTCTTGTGACTTGAGTTAGAATAAACGGCCAAGTGCGAGTCGGACTCGCGCATGAAGGGTTCTATACCATCGTAATACACGTTTTTGTAGGGGAGCCCCTTTTAATTTTTAATTTATTTTAATTTTTATTATTTGTTGTTATAGCGGCAACAGAAATACACATTCTGTGAAAATTTCAACTGTCTACCTATTACGGATCATGAATATATCCCGCTAACAGACGGACGGACGGACAGCGGAGGCTTAGTAATAGGGTCCCGTTGGTTACCCTTGAGGTACGGGAACCTTAAAAATGGTTGGGGCAGGTGGTACCTTCTTGAGCCTCTCGCGGTCGTCCTCATGTGCCGCGTTGCCCGTTGGTCCGGCGATGCGAAGCGACTCGCGGAACATCATCTCGCGCGCCTTCTGCTCGGCGCGGATCCGCTTCGGCAGCGACCGCTTCTCCAGCGCCTGGCACTTGGCCAGCTCCTCCTCCTTGCGGCTGTTCTTCCTAGCGAGACCAAACAAAACATTATTATATTACACGATTATTCGATGACTCGAGCCAAAATAATAAATATTTTTTTTAAACAGAAACAAACTTTTTTTATTCATCATCATCATCATTACAGCCCTTCACAAGTCCACTGCTGAACATAGGCCACCCCCAAGGAATACCACAAAGTACGGTCCCGAGCCACCTGCATCCATTGACTTCCTGCATGTCTTACCAGGTTGTCACTCCATCTAGTGGGGGGACGCCCAACACTTCGCCTGCCGGTACGAGGCTGCCACTCGAGTACCTTTCTTCCCCATCGGTTGTCGGTTCTTCGAGCTATATGGCCGGCCCATTGCCACTTCAGCTTACTAATCCTTTGTGCTATGGCGGTAACTGGTGCTACTGCAGATATCCATTTCTAAGTTTATCACGCAGAGAAACCCCGAGCATAGCCCTTTTTTATTAAATATTCTAATATATAAAAATTAATGATTGTTTGTTCGTATTTCATGCACTGTCATACCGTTCATCAGATTTCTGCTGACGGTTATAGGCATAATACAATTTTGCAGTAGGCAGCACGGGTATTGTACCGAAAAATTTATTTGAAATTATATATCATCGCCATTAGCATTCCATTCAGTCTAGCAGGACTTTTTCTACCCTTACTGGTTTGAGTTTCACACTTGGACTAAGATGGAATGCCTCGTTTCCACTTAAAAGGGTCTTCGGTTCTCTACACTCACCATACGAAACACGCTGGTGTTCTGTGAGAGCATATTTCTTCCCTGGTCAAAACCATTTATGTTGCAAACATACCACATAATAAAAAGAGAAATTGTCATTCTAATTATCATTTTTACTCACCTCACATCTATACAAATAAATAAAACTGAAGTGTCTATTTGTAATATCAAAATAACATCTTTTTACCAAATGCATATGAAAGTACATACGGTACTATTACAAAAAAAAAATTTAAAATTTTTGTCTGTCTGTTTGTTGCGACTAATCTCCGAAATAGCTAGACCGATTCTGACTGGACTTTCACTGGCAGACAGCTGATGTTATAAGCAGTAACTTGGGCTACTTATATTGTCAAACAATAGCTTCTTCTGCGCAAAATATTAAAACCCGTGAAATCTAAGCGTAATAAATTACACGCGGATAAAGTCGCGGGGGACAGCTAGTGTAATAATAAAATATTAATGAATACATAGGTGATAAAAATCCTTAGAAAAAAGATGATTGCTGATACCAAACTGTCGTTTTGGGCTACAATAGCCACATAGTATCAAATAGACTCTACACAAGTAGTAGAATTAAAAATTTAGTACAACCGACTTCAGTACAATTTATTTAAGGATAACTAAAAAACTACTGGTCGGATGTTGATCAAATTTATACGGGACCACATGAGAAGCACCAGCTTTCAAATAAAAAAGAATCATCCAAATCGGTTCACCTAGAAAAAGTTCTGTGGTAACACCACACATATTGAGTTCCTCCTCCGTTTTGAAGTCGGATAAAATATTAGTTAATACATAGGTGAAATAAAAACTAAACCTAAAAGGTACCTTTTGATCTGCTCTAACTCTTTGTCGTGCCGCACTAGCATCTGATGCCGCCTCAATAGAAACTCGTCCTTGAGCTGCCGCTTGGCGAGCTGGTGCCTCTCGTGGATCTGTTTCTCCTCCAGCTCCCACAACGCCGCTTCCCGGGTCCTCATTATCTGGGAATATTGACAAACATGTTCAACTTTTTAATGAACTTAGTTGTGGTGATATCTCTATCTATGTCACCACACAAGAAGCTAGAATATAACACTGTGTAAAACAAAGTCGCTTCTCGCAGTCTGTAGGCTTATATCTTTTAAACTTCGCAACGGATTTTGATACAGTCTTCATCAATAGACAGAATAATTCAAGAGGAAGATTATATTATATAATTCTACTGTCCGTGTGTATGTGACTGAACTCGTAAATGGCTGCACCGATTTTGATGAAATTTTGTGTGTGTGATTACGTTGATTAGTGAATGATTTAGATTCACAATTGGAGCCGATAGGTGGCGTTGTTGTCGAGATCCAGAAATCAACCGTGCGAAACCGGAGTGGATGGATAGTGAATAATATATCGGCTGACATTTTTACCGCGAGGACAAAATAGCGTGTGGCAAATATATGTTTCATATACTTAAATAAAGTTTTTGAACTTAAAACAATAAATAAGGCGGATTAAAATAACGGAATTTAAACGTACTTTTATCGTGGCAAGTGTCAATGAATTTGTGAAGCCCTTATGACATCGAATAGTTAAAAACTTCAGTTCAAATTAGTCATATATATACATAAATTTCATATAATGTCAATGTATTATATAATATAATTGACGAGTCCGTGGCGCAGTGGCTTAGCAATCAATTGTTGCGCTGGGGGCCGCGGGTTCGAATCCCGCACGGAACAAGTATTTGTATGGCCTACAAATAATTGTTCCGGGTCTGGATGTTTGTCATTGTGCAATTTATGTTTGTAAACTGCCTCCACGACACAGGAGAAAATCCTAGTGTGGGGGTAACGTTTTTAAAATATATATATATATATGTAATATACAGCCCGTCATTTCATCCCGTGGGTGTCGAAAAAGGCGAATATATTAAAATATGCCAAAAATCTTATAGTTAAAACACTAGACTACATAACAAATATTATATTCGGTCATACGCCGAATACCGAATATTCTGCGGACTTCCTAGCAGAATATATTACACAGAAGTATTCGGCCAGGAAGGAAGTACAGTTTTTTTTTTATCAGAGCGTGTATTTGATTCGATTGTATATAAGAAGAGAAGGAGTACGCTACTGCCTGAAAAGAAAAAAATAGTCTTTCTGGATCATTACCTTCCACTTTAATTACAATTATTCGAGTACATAGACATTTTCTGATAGTTCTTTTTTAATGTTTATAGTATGGAAGTTGATTATGTAACTACTTTAATGATTATATGAAAATTTTAAAAAATTATAAAATAAATAAATATTTTCATTTTACCAATTATCTGACTACAATAAAACCTCTTATAAGTATTCGATATTCGGCTGAGTCAAACAGGTCGAATACTGAATAATAGCCGATTACTCGTTGCAAGTTTAGTTGTCACGCTAGGCACCCGCAGTTTTTTTAAAATTATTTTTAGTTAGAAAGATGCTGCTGCCCATCTCTGCTTCTGCTCTGCATCATCTTTGTTTCAGTTTCCCCCTGTCGCCTCTTACGACACCCACGGGACGATTTGTGGTAGTGGATATTCTTGCACCGCCATCACACAATGATTACCTGCTGCCGTTGCTGCAAGTACTGCCTGTCGGCGAGCGCTTGTCTCTCTCGATGGTGTTCGTGCACTCGCCGAAGAACCGCGTCGGCCGAATCGGCAAGTGCTGCTACGAACGCGCGTTCCCTCTCCGCATGCTCGGCGTCCAAACGCGCCCGCCTTTGTCGGTACGTTTCCTTCCTTCGCTCCTGTGAAACGTCAGAGATGTGAATGTGGATTGGACTTAATGAAGAACTAGCCTAATCGTTAACAAGAAAACGTACTCAAATAATTAATTAAAAAAAAAGTTATGAAAATTTACTTTTCTCTTTTAAATAAAACTAGTTTTTACGGATTTTATGGTGTAATATTTATTTGTAAACTACTCGCAACGACGGGAATATAAAATAAGTTAATGTACGCGATAAAATCCGTAAAACAAAAATTATGTCCCCCCCCCCCCCCCTCCCCATACTTTAATCTTATCCTGTCGTTTTATAATCAATAGTCTGTCTGATCATTAGTAGGTTAGTTGCGATAAAGTACTAGATCATTAATCACACTATCTTAACACAATATTTCGAAACAATTTCGAATTTAAACTCAAATTTCACAATGTCATATTTTGAGTATAGACACCATCGTGTAGTTATTATACTAACTTTGTGAATGTCAAGTTTCTGTACAAATTCAAGACTATCTCTGTATATCGAACCTTAGCGTAACAAAATCAAGATAGTAAGCGGGCGGAAAGACAGACATAGGCAAAATTACTTCACACTTTAGCTGTATGCATTATGAAAGACGGAGCAACCAGAACAAAAGTGGAGTCCCGCCGACTGTCTGGTTGTCCAATGATGAAAAAGGGAGGGAGGAATTTAATCATGTAATTCCTGTGGACACAATTCTATATAATACCAAAATACCTGTTCCAGCACGACTCTAGTATGACGATGACGAGCTCGCGTTGTGGCAACCTCAACTGCCGTTTCATCTATGAAACCAGATTTAAGCGCAAGCACAGCTATTTCAAGCTGTCGTAACACTTCGACGACGAGCTCCAACAATCGCTGGAGTTATTTCCGCTGTCGCCTCACTTTCGTGATGAGCTCAACCTCACCTCACTGTAGTTACTTTGGCTGCTGGCTTGCTTCGTCAACTAGCTTCTAACGCTGTAGCTACTCCAACGTCATCTCACCTCGTCAATGAGCTCCACCTCTTTGAATAGCTCTTCTGGTAGCAATCTTAGCAGTGACTCATTTTGGCGATTAGCTCGAACTTCCACTGTAATTACTCTAACTGCCTCCCCACCTCAGCTATCAGCTTCACCGCTACTATAACCTTACAACCAGCTCCTCCCGGCGCAGCTACCACAGTCAATTCACCCTTACAATCACTTTCACCTACCACCGTAGCAACCACATTCGTCTTACCTCTATAACCAGGTTTTCCCGCATCAATTCCAGTTACTGGTTCATTTTAGTGATGAGTTTGACTTCTTGTTTGAGTAGCTTGAGATCCTGCTTAAGAGTCTGACCACCATATTAGTACATGTTCATATACTCAACATTGAGACGAGTTGCTTCACCACTGCGATGAGTTCCAGCTGAAACAGGTGTGGCTTCGGCTCTTACCTCATATCTTTTGTTTGCTTATCTTTAGCTTTTAGCGTAGTATGAAGAGCCACAGCTGCTTATTCCAACTGCCACCTCACCCCTATAACCAGCTCCTCCCGCTGTAGATAACTATAAACTATATCGACCTCCCGCTCAAGCTAACACAGCTGTTCCGCCCCTAGAACCAACTCTTATTGCAGCAACCACAGCCGTATCATAGCTACTAGCTTTTCCTGTCGCAGTTACCACAGTCACCTCATCCCTCTCATCAATACCTCCCACTACAGCTAGAATAGCCGCTCCGCCTGCATCGCCCTCCAGCTGCTGCTGGGCTCAACCTACCGCTACAGCTGGGCTCACCTTGGCGAGCAGCTCGACCTCCTGCTTGAGCAGGCGCAGCTCCTGCTTGAGCGTGTCGCGGAAGTGGCGTAGGTCGCGCTCGTGCTCGGCGCGCAGGCGCTTGGCGTGCGCGCGCAGCTCGCCCTCCAGCTGCTGCTCGGCTCGCTCGGCGGCGCCGCGTTGCGCGCGCGCCAGCGCCTCCAGCTCCGCCTCGTGCGCGCGGCATAGGCTCGCCAGCTCTGCCTCGAACCTGCGACAGTCACACCACCCCACCCAATTACACTAACCGCTAATATGTGTTGCCACACACTTTGGCACCGCACAGGTTTCAAGATGATCTCCATATATATACTACCGGGTGTTTGTGAAACGCTCCCGAAAACGAAGACAGGCGATAGTACTAAACTATACCTTTGATGATGGGTGAGAAATAAAATCATATTTTCACAATGTTTTACTAGTTTTATTCACGCTCCATCATGTTAGTACAGCTAAATGAAACAATAATTTAAAAAAAAATGAAAATACTTAAACATACAACCAGCACTGAAATTACAATCACCTAGGGGTTACGCCAGGACGCCAAATTCGCGCAGCCAGCAGCTAGCGATGGTACTACAATACCTAATAATTTACAACACTTGTCTAAATACCTGATTTATCTACTTAATCTACTATTTTGCCACTGTGCTTGTCTCCACCTAGCCACTTTATTCACAGGTTAAATAAACCATATACCTGGTTCGATTCCCCGCTAATATAAAAATTACTTGAATGAAATGTTAACAAGGTTAAAATCATGATTTTTTATCCATCTTGTAAGTATTTTTATTATTCTGATTATTCAGTTATGTACCTATTCAGATGAGTTCAGTACTATTTAAAAAAAATAGGTATAAAACAGCTTACCGATATAAATCCTAAGTATGAGATTCTCCAAGGCACATTAACATGTTGCCGTATTCACGAGCACTATAAACGTTAACGGTAAAACGTAGGAACGTTAATAATAATTAAAATTTAATAATTTAAAACAAAACAAGAAAAACAAAACGTAACAATAAGAATGAAATAAACAAAACATTTGAACTGTCGCTCACGCGCACCTGATAGTCAACACGGAACTGTCTCAAAAACTAAAATTAATAATCAATCCCGCCAAAACAAATGCCCATGAGGCATTCGTCCTTGAAGCACTGAGTACTTCCACAGACCGTAAAACCCTTACGACAAGGCTAACGTTTATTTTATTTATAAGTCTAATTATCCCTACGATTAGTCTTCATATGGTATTTAGAAATTATGGTTTTTATTTTTAATACAATTACACAATCATTTGTACCCTGACGCAACAAGCAGTTCTTTAATAGATAAATTATATTGAAATTAATAAACGTACCTAATTGGGTACTCAGTACTCACTCACTTACACAATTACGAACACTACTTCATCGTTATCTTTTATTTTGTATAAGAAAATAGAAATTAAATGGTACTGACTAATTTAATAGATAAAATCAATTGCAATTATGATCGACAGTTAATTAATTTATCAGAAATAATTAATGTAAATAATAATACTTTTACCTTAGTTTAATTGAATTTTCGTATTTAATTCGACCAATACTTTAAATTTAAAAAGAGGTACATCAAATTTATTAAAAATTACTTGCAAGTTTTATAGTGATTGCCGCCTCTAATTCTTATGTCGCCGGCAAACTAAATTTCGGTGCAACATGGCAACGTTGCCATCACCAATTTGACAAATTCCCCGAAAATTCATGTCAAATTCCCCAATTTAAGGACAAAAGTTCAACAGATTCTCCACAAATTCTCCTCAATTTTAATTTAAAGAAATAAATCAATTTTTAAATAATTTTATAAGATTTACTTTTTAACTAACATATCTTTCTTTAAAATTATTAAAAAAAAGAAATGAAAAGCATTAAATGATACACAAAATTTGCCGATATAAATCGAAAAATTAAATGTGTTGCAATGAAGATACAATTAAAAAAGGGAGTAATCCCACCAAAAACATTCTGTAAAAAAACTAGCCAAGTCTCGATGGAGCTGCTTGTTTATCTCTAAAAAGTAATGAAATCTAGACAAAGTCGTGCCAAGTCTAAGGTTCCTTACTGCGATTTCTTTATTATTATAGTTAATGTTGTGTGACTTGGCCGTTGAAGGGTACACAGGGTACAAAACCAGGCGCTACATGACACCATTGCACCAATCTGTCGCCAGAACCGCTACCCATTGACGATGGAAAAGTGCTTCTTGGAAAACGTTGATTGAATAACCAGTCAATTGTAAGCTTGATAAAGTTGCGTTTACACGTAATGTTGCACGTAATTGTGTTTACACGTAATGTTATATCTGTTGTAACTACTTATGTTTGTTAAGCGAGATAATAGCCCATAGTGGTATTGGTAATTGGACGCTAGTGTCTCATTTTAGGCGGTTGTTGATTGTGCAACACATGCATTCAGCATTCACAATGCTGACTTCTACTCTCTTCTTTTTCGAGCGTCAAATCGACCACCGATCTAACATAAAATAGACGTACATACGGACTTCTATCAATGATTAGAAGTCCGCCTGTACTGGAAATAATTTTTTATACTGTTTGTTTCAGGCTCGCCTATACAAAAGTATTATTGAAATACGCAGCTTTATCAAGCCTACAATTGACTGGTTATTCAATCAACGTTTTCCAAGTGGCAATTTTCCATCGTCAATGGGTAGTGGTTCTGGCGACAGATTGGTGCAATGGTGTGTATGCAATATAGCACCTGGTTTTGTACCGTTGTGTTCCCTACAACGGCCAAGTCACACAACAATAACTATAATAATAAAGAAATCGCAGTAAGGAACCTTAGACTTGGCACGACTTTGTCTAGATTTCATTACTTTTTAGAGATAAACAAGTAGCTCCATCGAGACTTGGCTAGTTTTTTTACAGAATGTTTTTGGTGGGATTTCACTGCTTTTTGTAGAAACGTGGGCATATTATGATTTATTTTATTAGATTTTCTTATTTGACACATTTTTTTAGGAGTAGTTTTTTTATTATTACAAATCTTTCTTTTCTTTTTTTCCGGTTCTGATTCTTGTACAGTAGCAACAGTTTTTCGTATTGCCCGTTCGCGTTCATTATTTATTCTTTTAGACGGTTTATACGGTTTAATATCTGAAAGATCGGCGCGGTATTTACGCCTAAGCCGGTTGTATTCGGTGATCGCTGAAGCTTGAGCTTTTATACTCTTGAAGTCAACATTTATGCACCCCATGAAGATTGGTTACTCGTGAAAGCGCCACGTAGGCTTGGCCACAAGAGAATATGGAGGTGCCAATGTCCATGAGGGCATTTTTAGACTTAGACCTTGACTCTTATGAATTGTTAGGGCATACGCCACACAGATTGGGAATTGTTCTCTGTACACGTATTTTTTTTTTATGTTCCAATAGTAGAATAAGCATTACCATATCTCTAATACATCTGAGATCTGCTGAGGATACTTGAGAACTTCGATTTTTGACATCAAATGAAGCGGCCCACCAAGTTGAATATTTTTTGTAAAGGCGGTATGTCGATCTCTTCTAATAGTTTGGTTGGGCTCTTGTGTTTCCCAATCAGGGTCCCCAGGTACTCCAGATCTTCGATTATCCTAGTTTTTACAGTTTTCCCTTTATGTGGCCATTAAACCCTAACTCTGTACCAAATTTCAGCTCTCTGAGTTTATGGGAAGTACTAGTTCTATTCTGATGATCATGAGTGAGTGAGTGTCATAAATGCGAAACTTTGCTTTCGCTTAACTTCGGAACTAAATGACCTATAGACTTGAAATTTTAAATTTTAAGTATGTGATTATAGCTTACTGGATGACGAAAATTTCTGCGTTCTGGTCTTATCCGGAGGTTCTCAAATAGAGGCCTGAAAATGCGGCGAAACGGTTCCAGTAAAGGATGGTACGGCAGTGTTTGCTTCGCGCTCGACTTGGCGGAGGCACTGCCGTGCCCCCCGATTTGATATTCCTAAGTAACCTAACAAAATGTTAAGACAAGTATTTAGATTTCTTGAATAAAGGTTCTGACTTGGCCCTGGCTATCGATTTTCAAACTCCCCATATTTTCTCCGCATAATATCCCAACCAACTTTAAATTCCCCGCAAGTTTGGGAATTCCTCACATATACAATTAAAAAAGGGAGTAATTTGATATTCCTAAGTAACCTAACAAAATGTTAAGACAAGTATTTAGATTTCTTGAATAAAGGTTCTGACTTGGCCCTGGCTATCGATTTTCAAACTCCCCATATTTTCTCCGCATAATATCCCAACCAACTTTAAATTCCCCGCAAGTTTGGGAATTCCTCACATATTGTTAAAGCTGACATGTGTAAATTCCACAGCGCGAGGCGACACGAACCGACCGGGCGGCGGTAGCGTGTGTGTGAAAGGGAAGGGTAAAGTGAGTAGGCATTGTTTCGCACCGAGCTAGATAAAATAGAGAGTTGGGTGTCCCCGAGAATATTGACCCTATTGTCAGCTGATTTTATGATTTATTTATTTTAAAGGAGATTGCCAGATCGTGCTTCACATTGTACAAAAAAGGTAAAAATATGAAAAATAATCTTATGAATATTGAAGTTTTTTGTGATAAATCGTTATTTTGTACAACTTACGGTAACATATTATAAAAAAAATAATTCAATTATTAATATGTATTTACATTTCCAATCTTTTCTAATAACATCTCAGTTTCTTTGTACGAATAACTACATACGTACGCATAAAGTATCAAACAATACATATTTCTATTAAAATATATTATAAGTCTTTGTCATATAAAAATGTTACTTATCAATTTTTATTTTCAATTATTACTATACGTCGATAATAATTATGAATTGCTTTAGATAATTACTGAATAACAATCATTGATTTTCCTGCATTTTGTGAAATGGTACACACACTTCATTGTGTCAATATCGTATGTAGTAAGTACGTATGTCAAATTAATGTAGAATATTTTCACACATTGACTAATATTTCTGCTGACGACTTATGCTTTTATTAATATACAGACTCGATCACGCCTACTTATTGACTTACTGCTAATTACTACGGACATTCTGATAATTGCATCCACGATGTTGAGATGCACTAATTGTCATATTTGCGTCGATAGGATGCAGAGGCATTTTGTGTCCTCATTTCGATTTACGATCTTAACTCTTCCTTCAACATGGAGATCTTTGCAAAAGATATATTTAGTTTTATAGCTTTTTTATAAAGTTGATAATTTATGGTCCTGCCGTTGTCGTAAAATTAGTTACTAATCTGTAAATATTTACACCTTCTACAGACACATGTCATAATAATATGTATCTTGAAAAATAATTTTGGAAATAATATTACTGTGATAAAATAATATAACTAAATAATATAACTATATATATAGTTCTATTATTTAGTATATATATATATATATATATATCATTAGCGCCTGACAATTTATACAATTTATAAAGTGCAACAAATGCTGTTCTAAAAAATAAGATAAATGTAATTATTAGTATAGTTTAAAAAAAATCGCAAGTTCTAGAGACTTCACATTATATAATTTGGATGGAGTAATAAAGAAGAAAAAAAATGCTGCATACGGCATTCGTGTACACCACACTTTTAAGTGGGGCAAAGTTCTATAGAGAATCTGGCATTCTCCTTTCACTGCTGGTTTAATGTTTAAGTATTTTCATGATTTTTTTAAATGAAATTATCGTTTTTAGCTGTGCCAACATGGTGGGGCGTGAATAAAGCTAATAAACCGTTGCGAAAAGATGATTTTTTTTTAGGATCGATTTTATTTCTCACCCATCATCAAAGGGTAGGGCAAGGTATAGTTAGTACTATCGTCTGTCTTCGTTTTCGGGAGCGTTTCACAAACACCCGGTATATATATATATATATATATATATATATATATGGACAGCAACTTTATTTTTTTCAGTCTAGCAGCGATTAGTATTATTAAAGTAACTGGTTTTTTGTACCACATTGAATTTTAGCAATGAAATGGAACCTCTACTGAAGAGTGAGACTACTTATATATTACATTATTCATATGTTTATATAAATCTTATTTAATAATAGGTAAATTTATTCCTCAACTTATTTTATATTGCATGTTGCACCTATCCGTCAAAATATATTACAATGTCCTTTTACGTTCGGTTTGTCAGGTAGAAATCACTTGAAGCGATATGACCACCGTTTCTAGTTCAAACGTTTTCCGTAATTGTAACCACTTTGTTTAAATGCAATAAAGAGTTATTTATCTATCTATCTACATCCAACAAAGCTGTCCACTAACTCTGTTCACATCACAATTATAATCACTTTGTAATATGTATATTACGTCGTATTTTATTTCACTTAAGTATATAATATAGCTTTAACTATAAAAACTACTGCTTATAAAACATTAACGTGGTGAAGCCTTACTTCAGCTATATTATTATGGGATTTTATATTATATATACCAGGGAAGTACCACGCTCACACAGAATACCAGCAGAAAATAGCAGCTTAATGCTACTAAGATGAATATAAAAGACCCGAATATACGTTGCACTGAATATGAGGCATTCAGAGTTAAAGTAAAAACGCAAAAAAAAAACATTAAAATAATTTAGCAAATAGACTCGCTGGTTCAGTTTCAATTAGTCATTTCTTATAACAATTACAGAATAACATGGAGTAGTGAATATTCTTACACGCCATTATACGGTTACATCTTACACTTAATAATAATGCTGTATATATGTACGTTACAAAAAAAATTCAAAAAAAGAAGATACTATTGGATTAAACTCTCAATCCTAACAAAACCCAGTGGAAATTGCACCACTACGAAGCAACAAAAATATATAAGTCACGCTCTAAAGCGGCCATTAACGCCTAGGCAAGCGTCAATCAGTTCGATCAATCATGATTGATGTTTGATTGTATAGAATTATTTCGACGTTACACGCTCATTCTGACTGATCGTCAGTCAAACCCAAAATTTCAGAGGGATAGGATGGATATTCATAAAAAAAGGCCTGTGCTGCAATTTCAATTGAAATTTTGTGTAAAAAACGTATAAAAAGAAGGCGCTGGGTAAAATATTAGGTTTTAAAAAGGGATTTCTAAAACCCATGTTAAGTTTTTGAGATACGGATTTCAAAAGACTATGCAAATTATTTTCGCATGAAAGAGGCTTGTTTTGATAAGTTACTGGTAACACCATACCTTAAAAAAAACAAAATACATGTATGCGGAAAGCTATAACTCCCGAAGAAAAGCTAGGAGCAACGCGATGCGTGATTGACGAAATGCCATTAAACGTTCAATCAAAATTCGTGACTGATAGTTGATTCACGTAAAAATCAAAATATACAGATATTTGTCCATCAATTTCATGCGACTGTCTTCACCGCATTAGACGGTAGGTTATTCGTCACAACCATGATTATTGTAAAAGTGACAGCAAAGCCTACTGTGTAATGGGCACCTATCTTTGATCAGAAAAGTTCCTAGATAAAAAACAAATGCTACTTGACAGCTTAAGTTTTTGAGATACGGATTTCAAAAGACTATGCAAATTATTTTCGCATGAAAGAGGCTTGTTTTGATAAGTTACTGGTAAAACCATACCTTAAAAAAAAAAAAAAAACAAAATACAGGGGTTTTTGGCGGGAACTTGATCAACGGCGGTTTGCTGCTCCTGTATTATTGTTTAAATAATGGTTTGAAGTGGACTTTGATATGTAAAAGTGGTGCGATTTTGTGTATTTATTGTCTACGCATGTGAACTATTAGTGGAAACAGTGAAACAAGTGCTCTGATGGTGATGGATTCTCAATGTTTGCATAGGCGCCTTGAGATACCATCGCCAACTATCAGCTGTCTGCTGGCTCAAGTTGCCGTCAAAATCTCTCAAGGGCTGCACAATGTGACGCATCAACATATTGTGAAGCAGTGAACTATGAAGGATAATTATTTATAATAAACCGAATAAAAATACTCAAGACTTGGCCTAAAGGTCTAGATACCAGGCCATAAACTCCTATAAAAAAAAAAAAAACAAAATACATGTATGCGGAAAGCTATAACTCCCGAAGAAAAGCTAGGAGCAACGCGATGCGTGATTGACGAAATGCCATTAAACGTTCAATCAAAATTCGTGACTGATAGTTGATTCACGTAAAAATCAAAATATACAGATATTTGTCCATCAATTTCATGCGACTGTCTTCACCGCATTAGACGGTAGGTTATTCGTCACAACCATGATTATTGTAAAAGTGACAGCAAAGCCTACTGTGTAATGGGCACCTATCTTTGATCAGAAAAGTTCCTAGATAAAAAACAAATGCTACTTGACAGCTTAAGTTTTTGAGATACGGATTTCAAAAGACTATGCAAATTATTTTCGCATGAAAGAGGCTTGTTTTGATAAGTTACTGGTAACACCATACCTTAAAAAAAAACAAAATACATGTATGCGGAAAGCTATAACTCCCGAAGAAAAGCTAGGAGCAACGCGATGCGTGATTGACGAAATGCCATTAAACGTTCAATCAAAATTCGTGACTGATAGTTGATTCACGTAAAAATCAAAATATACAGATATTTGTCCATCAATTTCATGCGACTGTCTTCACCGCATTAGACGGTAGGTTATTCGTCACAACCATGATTATTGTAAAAGTGACAGCAAAGCCTACTGTGTAATGGGCACCTATCTTTGATCAGAAAAGTTCCTAGATAAAAAACAAATGCTACTTGACAGCTCCGTGGCGCTGTGGCTAAAGAGGGTTTACACTTCGACAAGTACAGTAGCGAGTTAACTTGCGAACCTAACAAGTTAAGTAAAAAAAATCTCGTTTGAACGGAAATCAGTGAGTTAAGTATCAAATTAACAATTAAATTAAACGGGATAGCTGGGCGGGCTATTTTTGGGCGAGTAAAGTTCGAAGTGTAGTTCTCCCGCCACCCGCAAGTACACTTGTCGCTCGTAAACAAGCGAGTTTAGTTCAGTGCATAAGTTGACAGGACGCAACCTGATCGCTTCGACACTCAAAATATAAAATTGCACTTTTTTAAACTAAACTCGCCACGAACACATTTGAACGCTACTGCCCACTTAACCGTTTACTGTCAACTGTCCTGTAACTAAACTCACTACTGTATTTGTCGAAATGTAAATCGGCCATACGGCAGGTTCGAATCACGGACGGAACAAGCATTTTGTATGGGCTACAAATAATTGTTACAGGTCTGGATTCTTGTCGTAAAATGTTCAAACAATACAGGAGAAAATCCTAGTGTGGAGGTAACGTTTTAAAAGATGTATATGAAAAAAAAACCAAATGTTTGTTATTGCCGGCAACTAACCTCTTATCCTGCTGTTCTCGAAGCTGGTGCTCTTTGGCGTTGAGGTCCTGGAATTGTTTTTGTTCCTGTTTCTGCAGCATCTTAATCTCGCGAAGCTCCTGCTTGCGAAGAGCGTGATCATCCCACGTGCGACCGCTCTCCTCGTCGCCCCAAATCACCTGCATCGCAAAACATAGTTTTATACTTATTAATCATATACAGGCCATATTTGTAGGTTCAGAATAAGTAATATAGGCAAATCGTTAAAAAAACTTAATTAAAAAAAATCTCAAACATTCTGTTCTTTTTATCTTTTAAATTCAAAATGCGTGGTAATGTATTATTAACTGATTTTCTGCGCACGTACACGTTCGTAAGGGTCGATCGGTAGGCAAAAACGTTGTTGCGCATAAATCACATTTAATTTGGGATACTTTCAAATAACATTAGAATCCTTATTTACTTGTATTTTCAAAAACTACAATAACGCTATATCATTGTTTATATATTTGAACTTAAGTTTAAAATTTGGCTACTGTTTGAAAAATAACACTGTATTATTTTATTTTACTTTTATAGACGTAAAATATACAAAGTAGAACTTATTATTTAAAAAGTAAATTATGACCATTATACAGACAACTGTTACTATCATCCCGTGGGTGTCGTAAGAGGCGACAGAGAGAACTTTATACTGAAGATGGGCAGCCGCATCTTCCTGATAACAAGTCATTATAATAAAAAAAATGCAGCTGCCAACGCGCTTGCCATGTGTGGCAACATTGTCAATATTGCATCTATGACTCAATCTATAGGAGGCTTATGTCTAGCAGTGGATTTTAATAGGCTGTAATGATGATGGTGATGATATGATGTTGTTTCGTCCCACTGGCACGAAGCATGTTAGCGACTTTATACAAGAGCAGATTTCTCACAGCTTTGTCTTTCGTAGTCGACTAAAGGAGTTACGGAGAATTGACCGTTACTTAATGCGCAATGTATTAAGGCAGCAGAGCCCGTCTAATAATATACACAGAAGTCTCATTTAATTTGGTATTTTAACTGCCAACTCTATTCTCGATAAAGACCCATCTGGCACAGGGTAGAGCCATGCTGCAGCTATATTAGTGGTATAGTTGTAGCACGAATGGGTCGGCTCGACCGGGGAAGGACCACGCTCTCACAGAATACCAGCGTAAAATAGCAGCTTAACGCTGCTGTGTTTCGTATGGTAAATGTAGAGAACCAGAGACCCTTTTTACTGGAAATGAGGCATTCCATCTTAGTCCTCAGGGACGACGCATCTGCATTTTGATTCTTAATTGAGGATAGATGTAGAAGTCTATGGGTCACAGCATCATCTTGCCATCTGGTGGACTGTGTGCTTGTGTCACTCTTATTATATAATAAAAAGCTATAATATGCTGCAGTGTATCATGATTGGAAATAAACTATTATTTTAGTTATTACTAGCTGCCCCTCGCGACTTCGCCCGCGTAGAATTTACTTCGATTTCAAGGGTTTTAATTTTTTTTTCGCGGAACCCTGATTTTTTATATGTATCCTAAGTTATTCTTATGACATCAGCTATTTGCTAGTGAGTCCAATCAAAATCGGTCCAGCCGTTTCGGAGATTAGTGGGAACAAACAGACAGACAGACAAGACTAAAATGTTAAAAAATGTTTTTTTTTTGTTATTAGTACCGTATATACTTTCATATGCATTTAGTAAAAAGCAGTAAAATTACCTTTACAAACAGACACTTCAATTTTATTTATTTGTATAGATATAGACTAGCGACCCGCCCCGGCTTCGCACGGGTGAATAATGCTGGATCTCATGTCCAGAGGACCGGGTCCAATTGTAAATTTAAAGCACCCAAAAAATTTCATCAATATCGTTCGAATCGTTTTCGAATTTTAGCGAGACTAACGGACAGCAATTGATTTTTATATATAGAGATTATTTATTTATTTATTTATTACCTTAGAGGTGGTGGTCGTGACGACGACTCCGTCGATCTCAAACTTTCTCGTGCGTTTGCGCGTCTTCTTTTTAAGGTTCGCCAAGTGGATGTCCTCCTTTGACCTGAAACAATAATATATTTATATCCCTTTTGTACTTAAGTAACATTTTTTTTCATTTATTACAAGATATGAAAAGGGAGGTTTTCGCAGTACGTTTTGGAACGAAGTTCCTTATCGAACGGTACAAGTTATAAGACTACAATTTGTCCTGTCCTCGAATTATAATTAAATTCTCGAAGTTTTTTTTTATAGCATAAGAGTGACAAAGGAGCACACAGCCCACCAGACGGTACGTGGATGCTGTGGCATTTGCACATCTACATCTTTCTTCGATTAAGAATAAAAATGCAGATGTGTTGTCACCCCCCTAATGATAACATTTTTTTTATAGGATAAAGGTGACAACCCAGCACACAGACCACCTAATGGTAAGTGGTTACTGTGACCCATAGATTTAATAAAGAATCAAAATGTAGATGCGTTGTCTGCCGTCAGGACTAAGGTGGAATGCCTCGTTTCCAGTAAAGTGTCTGCGGTTCTCTACACTCACCATACGAAACACAACAGTGTTAAGCTGCTAATTTACGTTGGTATTCTGTGAAGGCGTGGTCCTTCCCCTGTCGAGCCGACACATTCGTGCTACAATCATAATATAACTGCAGCGTCGGTCTACCACGTGTAAAGTTTCCTCGCGATTTCTTTCTTGATCATCGAGCAAGTTTCACATTAGCATTCATGTTTCGTGTGAATACCATAAGGTAAGAAGGGGATCATTTAGTGAGTGAAACGTCTCTTTCATGGGTACTATGACAAATAGAAAATTGAACAAGGAACTCACCTTTGTATTCTGTTGGACGGGTCCTGTCGGTTCCGCCTTAATACGACCTGCTCCCCATTGTCCAGATCTTGACTATCTGTGTTCACCCTGGGAAAAGACATAGACAGTATTGTTATGAAGTGGTGGAGATATTCGTACACCGTCATTACAAGGTTTAAAAAAAGAGAAATGAGAAAGAGAAAGAGAGAGAGACAGAGAGAGAGAGACCTGGTGCCGCCGTTGAGGTGCGCGGAGTCGTGCGAGGCGGTGGTGGCCAGCGAGTCCGCGTCGGCGCCGCGGGACGCCACCGACCCGCTGTCCGACCGGGACGCAGACCGTCTGCAACACAAACAAATACAAACATTTTTAATCGATCATGACAACTTTTTGTGCCGCCAGGGCGGCGCCGCTTTCAAATGAGGTCAAATATTTGACAAATTTCAGAGGGAGAAAGTTGGTTGTAGGCTAATAATTTGACTCCTATATAATCTATTTGTTACTGAAAAATGTGTAATATACATATGTGGAAATAAAGTATCAAATGTTATTGTATTTATGGTTCACTATTTTGATACTATAAGCTTATACATAAAAGATAGATATATACTGTCGCAAACTTTTCCACCGACTTCAACAAGGAGACAGTAGTCAATTCGACAGTATGCTCTTCTTTAAGTGTTACCTCATAACTTTTTTCTAGGTGAACCGATTTCCATGATTCTGAACTGCAACAAATGCTGTTCTAAAAAATAAGGTAAATTTAATTATTAAAGTTCAGTTTAAAAAAATCGTAATAATTATATAATTTGGATGAAGTAATAAAATAGAAAAAATGTTGCATACGGCATTTGTGTACACCATACTTTTGGGTGGGGCAAAGTTCTATAGAGAATCTGACATTCTTCATTGTTTGAAAGTTTAATTTTCAATGAATGTATTATCAGTGCGTGTGCACGCACAGGTTACCTGTCGAAGCTGTCCGGGGACAGGCGCGTGGGCGCGAGCGCGATGTGCGTGGCCGCCGAGTCGCGCACGCGCACCTCCTCCGCGCCCACCGTCACCACGGACACGTGCGACGTGTCCTGTTGCAAATGCTACATCATCACCATACAATCACTATTCATCAACATCACCATCAACCAGTAAAAGCCTACGGCTGGACACGGGCATATATCGTGCGCATTTGCAACAATCACTTTTTTATAGAAGGAAGGTGACAAACGAGCATACAGTCCAACTGATGGTAAGTTGATGTAAATGCGTTGTCACCCATGAGGACTAAGATGGAATATATCGTTTCAAGTAATAAGGGTCACCGGTTCTCAACACTCACCATACGAAACACAGCAGCATGAAGCTGCTATTTTACACTGGTATTCTGTGAGAGCGGGTTCTTGCCCCAGTCGGGCCGACTCATTCGTGTTAGAACCATATAGCTGCAGCTTAATTGTTTACAGACAACAAAATGGATATCATCTCGTTTACAATAGAAGTAAATCATTCTAATATCGCCATCTTTCTCCTTGTGTGGTCCTTCGAGCCGAATTCAAAAATAATTTCCATGACACATGTAATTAGAAAGAAAATTAGTTATATAATGTCTTACTTGATGTTTTTTTTTTTCTTGACTAATACAATCCATAAATGTACACCACGTACAAAAGATAAAGAATACTCAAAACGACTACAAAGTTACGGTAATTATCAGCCATATAAATGGCACTTGGTTGATTTCAAATTGGATCGTGTTGTGGAGAAAAGAACCAACTCTCAAACTGAACAAAATAAAAATCCGAAGGCTCTTTTCACCTTACTGTTCCAGAAGGAAGCTGTAATTTTTTGAGAGTATGTATGTATGTATGCATGCATATATGTATATTTCTTTGTGGTAAAATTAAAAAAATACTTTCAATAATTATTAAATATAATAGAATATATATATATATATATATATATATATATATATATATATATATATATATATATATATATATATATTAAATAAAATGATTCTATTCTATTCTATTTTTGGCATGCTCTGTAGCCTAAACAGCTTGATCGGTTTTTTTTTTAAATTACTGCACCTATATATGAGTTGTGTGGAAACTTCCATACAGTGATATGACGCTTCGATACCAATTTGAGATAAAACTATAACCCACCAGGTTAAGTCCGTTGGCGACGCTGTCGTCGAAGACGCCCGAGTCCGCGGTGGCGCCAGGACTCAAGATGAGCACTTCGCTGCTGTCCAATCGTCGGCCGCGACTCTTTTCTAGGGAAAAAACATTATCATATTATTTTACTAATTATCAATTCTCAATTAAGTCCTTAATAGGTTTTTTGTACAAAAGTGAAAATTTCTTTAGAATCGTTGTGATTTGTTAAGATGATAGCTTATAGTCTTAGATTTAGAAGTCTAATAATCTAAGAAAAATATAAAATGTTTGGACATTGTCTTTTTTTTTAGTTAATGTTAACATTATGTAATTTTTTTTTTGTTAACGACTGTGTGCCAAAATAAAAATTAAAAATAAAACACAACAACTACAACTAACTTAAGGAATATCAAAATGTCGCTAAGGTTGATAAGTCGTACTTTACTAACATACAATTTTTTAAGCAAAACTAATTTGTGCGCATCTTATCGCGTATATAAATTTACTTTATAATCCCGCCATTTCGAGCACTTTACAGTCCCCATTCGACAGTTTGACAAAAAATGAGATTGGCTTCATTATGACGACCAGACGACAACTGTTCAGTGATGTATCAGTGATCGCGAGGGTGAAAACTGGCAGTAATCACCGAATGGTGAGAGGCACACTGAACCTAAACGTTAAGTTGGAGAGGTCACGTCTGATGAAGTCAACGCACCGTCACTCTCGTGCTCTAATCCATAGCCCCGAAACCTTTCAGCTCGAGTTACAAAATCGTTTTCAATGCCTAGAAGATTGCAATGAAGTGGCTGATATGAATGACAAGCTTGTGCAAACTGTCCATGCGGTCGGGCCTAAGTTCTGCAAGACCCGCGCAGACGAACACAAAAACTGCGATCACACTCTTAATCTTATGGCTGTTAGACGGGAGATTAAGCTGCAGTCTTCAGAAGATTTGACAGAATACAGGCAACTGAACAGACAGATCTCCCAATGCATGCGGCAGGACTTGCGCAACTTCAATACAGCTTGTATTTAAGAAGCGATAGCGGAAGCAAGGCTTCAAAGTTTTTGCCAGAATCTGTCGCCAGATAGAGCCTAATGTCGAAGCTGAGACTGAATGTGGCAGCATCGTTTCCGGGACACTGGAGATTTTGAGTGAGATTGAGAGGTTCCATGCGCTGCTGAACACGTCATCGTTGGAGCTACACGCAAGTGTGAGTAACGATCCAAGAGCAAGTCTTATCCAACACTATTCCGATGATTTCCCGGACGTTACTGTGAGCGTGATTAGAATGGCTCTCCAGAACCTTAAAAACGACAAGTCCCCGGGCGAGGATCGAATTAAAGAGGAACTTCTGAAAGCGGGTGGAAGACCGGTACTTTAAGCCCTTCAGAAGCCCTTTAATTCCATCCTCCATGGTGGCACTACTCCGGAGGAGCAGAAGTGCGGTGGTCTTGTTCTTCAACAAAGGCGACAACGCTTTACAGACCGATTTCCCTTTTGAGCCGCGTCTACGTGCTGTTTTCGAGAGTCATTACGAATCGTCTCGCACGCAGACTCGACGACTTCCAGCCTCGCGAACAAGCCAGTTTCTGAAAAGGCTTTAGCACCATAGACCACATACATACCCTTCAGCAAATTGTACAGAAGACTGAAGAGTACAATCTGCCACTTTGTCTTGCGTATGTGGACCATGAGAAAGCCTTTGATTTGAGATAAGTTCAACTTCGACCGAGAGGTCTATCGACGGATTCAACTCGGCTGGTAGCGTTCGGGATATTACGACACATCTTCTCATCAGGCATACCTCAAAACTAGATTGTACAACCAGTGTGTGTTGCCAGTGATGACCTATTGATCTGAGACGTGGTCCTTCATTGCTGGCCAGATGAGGGAGCTCAAAGTCGCTCAGCGAGCTATGGAGAGGGCTATGCTCGGCTTTTCTCTGCGTGATAAGACTTAAAACGAGGATATCCGCAGAAGAACCAGAGCCATCGACATAGCCCAAAGGATTAGTAAGCTGAAGTGGCAATGGGCCGCTCATATAGCTCGGAGAACCGATAACCGATGGGGAAGAAAGGTTGTCAAGTGGTAGCCTCGTACCGGGAGGCGAAATGGAGTGACAACCTGATAAGACATGCAGGAAGTCAATGGATACAGGAGGCTCGGGACCGTGCTTTGTGGCATTCCTTGGGGCAGACCTATGTTCAGCAGTGGACTTGTGAAGAGTTGTAATGATAATGATGTTGACCCCATGGTCACGGGTGACTGAGATTTTCGACGCCCCAATGTCATAGTTTACCACGCCACGAAAATTGATCTATGTCAAAATAGGTGTAACTCACCGCTGCAAGAGTTGGCGCAGTCGAGCGAGTCCAGGGATGAGGGTGCGAAGCAGTCGTCGTCGGACGATGAGCCGGCTCCCACGATCACCACCTCGTCGGCGATCGGCGGGGTGGTGGATATTGTCACCGCGTTCGGCGGAAGCTGGGAACACAAAGGTTTTGCTGTGATGAACCGATACTGAAATTTAAATTTAAATGATAATTTACTTTATGGTAAAAGACCCTAGTCGTGTGGTAAGGGTATCCGTAACAGAAATAGTTTTACAGTATTTAGCGATTCTGATGTTAGAACCGGAACGGTGCAGCCACAAGCCATGTTGGTGACGAAGACAATTAGTTTTTTTTTTTTAAATTGGTGGAGACATGATGCAGCTATATTATAGTGGTAGCATGATTTTGTTATGTTGAAGAACCGCGTTTTAACGGAATACCAGCGTGAAATAGCAACTCAATACTGCTGAGATTCGTATGGTGAGTGTAGGAAACCGGAGAGACCTTTTTGGAAATGAGGCATTCCAGTCCTTCTAGTCTAGTTCTTATGAGTGGAATGGAATCGAGGATAGATTTAAATGACTATTAGCTGAAGTATCCACTTCCATCAGGTGGACTGTGTGCTCGTTTATCATCCCAAGTCCATTAAAAAAATTCAATCACCCCATTTCATTCCGTGGGTGTCGTAAGAGTAATAACCATCTAGTTTGGGCTGGACGAACACCAATAAGACCGATTACGAGCAGCAGCGTCGATGATGCTCACGTCTGGTGCTGCGATCGACAATCTGTCTGCCAAATATGAAGATTTAGGCAAACACTCACTACGGCAGGAGACACCCATGTCCTGCAGTAGATTATTAAAGGCTGGCGAAGAAGAGCCATGCTGCAATGTTTTACGGTCAGGGCTTGCATGACCAAAAATTATGGGTTATAATGGTTAAAGGTATGACGTCATATCTTCTTATTGCGATATCTTAAAATAATGATACATAAATCTTTGGGTACCGAAAAATAACGGGTTATTTTTTTCGCCACCTAATTATCAACTTATAGCGTTTCTTTTTCTTGTGGTTCAAAATTACCTTAGTATTCAATAAGTTTTTTTTTAAATATTTCTTATAGGGTAGGGTGATAAACGAGCACTCAGTCCACCTGATGGTAATTGGTGGCTGTGATCCATAGACACATATGCATATGTGTCTATGGGTTACAGCAAGTCACAGCAGTCTGTTAAGCTGGGTGCAGCATGTAGGGTGTAGAGTGTGGGTGTAGAGTGTAGAGTGCGGCGGTACCGTGAGCGCGGTGCTGAGCACGGGCGGGTGCGTGGTGGTGACGGTGACGAGGCCGGCGGGCGACGCGGCCAGCGAGTTGGGCTCGGCGCTCACCGCCACCACCGTCACCGCGGCCGTCACACCAGATCGACGCTCACTCTCTCGTTCCCGAGCTGATGGTGGCTGTCAACAAAATCAATTCATTAGTAATTTTTTTAAGATTACAAAGCTTAATTTACAATATTGTTGAACCATGACCATGACCCCCATGACATCCTCAACCTGATAGGCTATTCAAACTGACTAGGCCTAAAGTTCGAGTCACCCCCCAACTCTTTTCTAGTCTTTAATTCCAATTAGCGACCCGACCATAGTTTCGCAGTTTTTGATTTTTTTCGCGTATAATGTCAATGACCTGAAAATATCATACATTGTAAGTGACCTCCCACTGCTAGTGACTGCCTGCTAATGCAAGATCAGTATATACAGACTGGGCCATCTAACGTTTGGAATTGGAACTATAAGTTATTTTGAGGTTAGAAGATTTGATGACATATCCGATATGACAGAAACTTAGTTTTATGTTTGACATTTATGAAATGGATAGCCTTTTGCTTGAACAAAAATGTGGAAGTATTAAAAACTTATTTCCAAAGTGGTGAGTCTAGAAGTCTAGAAGACTTCACACTGTAAGAAATTTACGAAAAAAAAAATGACAAAAAGGATGTACTAAAAACGCTGTTCGTGAAACAAGTTCGTGAAATTGTATCATTGTTGGACAAAACAACCCGTGTACGTACTCGTCCAGTGCGCTCAACTGAAAACATCGCTGCTGTTGCTCAGAATGTGCTTGAACAACCATCAACATCAACTCGTCATCGTTCTTAAGAATCGAACATTTCACGCACTTTTTTGAGAAGAATTTAGCATAAAGATCTCGGTACGAATGCTTACAAAGTTCAATTAGTGCAAACGCTGAAGCCCCATAACTATCCGATGCGAAAAGAGATTTAAATAAATATATACAACTATAGAGCGAGCATTGGGAACATTTATATACAAAAACTTTGAGCTAGTGCGCGTGTGACGCCCTCTAGCTAAAAATAGCAAAACAACGCTAAGCATTTATTAAGACAACATTTTAGGTGATCCCCAGTATGTGACGCTAAAATATATAACCTCGTTTTAGGAATGTTACCGTTTCGTTATCAAAGTATCGATAACGTCGTTGAAGATTACTAAGTTTGAAATGCTTTTCGATATAATAATAGAGAATATACATGATTGTTTTACTGTATCAATCTATTTATCATGACTTCCATCACACGAAAAAAAATCATATTAATTTTTTACGCCTCTTTAGTGTCACAAAATAAAATATTTAATTTCTAATAACTAAGATTCAATTCAAACAGCAGTCACTTTGGTTGCCACCTTGGTGGCATCTTGGATGACGTCACTCGGTTCATTAGCTGCTATAATAATAACATATGATTGATCGGTCGGCGTTAAAGACACATCCAGAAACGCCAAATCCAATAAGAGAGCGCCTCTATGTTTTTAAATTAGTTACTTTTACAAAAATACACTTCAAATCTAAAATATTTTAGGAAAACACTCAACTTAAAAGCCGTTACACGATTTTTCACGTTTCATCGGCTGCAGTACTTAAACACACTACCCACATCAATAAAAATTGTTATTTTAAGTTTATACCTTATTTTCTAACTCAGACTCTACCTACAACTTCATGCATCTAATATCTTTAACAGTACAAATTGTTTTTAATGTAACAAACCTAACCCTACCCTCTCCTATCACTGTAAGTCAGGATCTACAATGGCTTTGTCCTTGAAAACCACCAGACAACGAAGCCTGGTATGTAAAAGAGAAGACTTGCTGTATTGCTAAACATCAACACAGCAAGTATCCTCAGTATGCTCATAAGCAACAGAATATCTCATCAGCATGCCTAAAAAAATTTCCCACCCTTGCTCCACATAAAGTAGGCTACTTAGCATAGTTGGTATATGCTACTCATTTTTGGTGGTATGGGTTGACTGTTTTACCTCCTTAAATATTGTAAAGGATTAAATCGGCATCGTGTATTTTTTTTTATCGATAACCCCAATCGATAAACGTCGTCAATCACTAACTTTAACATTGGTAACTAAATAGTGACGTTTACTGGATAACAGAGGGTGCTTATTACAATAAAAATAAATGTTCTAGAACAATCTTCTAGAAATAATAAAATTTAAAGATTATTCGGTAAATATATGTTATATTTACGATAATAAACCGAAATCACGTTCATATTTTGTTCCATATCGTGACTTACAATATCTTAATGCACAACCGGGCATATTTTCTTTAAAAATATTTTTAAATATATGAAACGAATGCCTCTTGACTTTTTGACGATGTCACTAAGACTAACGGAGATATATCCTATAGGGCATAAGTTACAGACGACAATTTTGCTGCTGATGTCCGATCTATTACTACTACTACTTAAATGTCTTTGCCGATGCGTTTTCTGTTTGTCCAATGGGCCAAAGACAGCTTGGTCGAAGATGAGCATTTTTACCTAAAAATCATCTTTTCAGATGAAGCTCATTTCCACGTCATTTCATACTTCATTAAGCAAAGTATTGCAATCTTCTAGGCACTGGAAACGGTTTCGTAGCTCGAGCTGAAAGGTTTCGGGACTTTGGATTAGAGCACGAGGACGGAGCGTTGACTTCATCAGACGTGACCTCTCTAGCTTAACGTTTAGGTTCAGTGTGCCTCTCACCATTCAGTTATCGCTGCCGGTTTTCACTCTCGCGATCACTGAGACATCACTGAACAGTCTGGTCGTCATAATGAAGTCAATCTCATTTTTTGTCGGACCGTTGGGACTCGACCAGGTCCACTTTGTGTGGGGCCACTTCTTCTCGCTTCTTAGTAATTTTTTAACTTTTTGAAAATATCCTGCATGTTTCCTAGGTTGTTGTGGTTAAAGCATGTACATTGACCCATGAAGGAATTGCTAACTGCTTAGGGCAGAGTAACTAGTATTACTAACTCACACTTGTTCCTAATTATTACACTATGTAAATTACTAATTTTAATAAAATTTTGTGTAAATACATAAAATTTTCGTAAATATACAAGAAGCCAAGTTAATATTATGTATGTTAATTTCTTTAAATAAAATACTAAGAAACCCCTTTGCATTTATATTGTCATCTAATGCAATAAAATTAAACTCTTACCGTAACAGGCCTAATTTCTACTGCATTCTGCTGTCTCTTATTCCTTCTATCTTCTTCTTGGTCCTCAACAGAACTTGACCTTGAATATTCCTTCTTCTCTAACCTTCCCACTCTCGTCACTTCTATGCTCACTCTGTCTTTGTCGTCCACAGATCTGGATCTGTTCTCCCTTTCTATTCTATTTACTTCTGTGCTAACTCTATTTGTCTGCACGCAACTCCAGTCCAGGTCCGTTGAGGTGGATCGCGAGCGTTCCTTCTTGTCTCTTATTTCTATGTCAACTCTTTTTTCCTCCGTTGTCTCGGGGGTTGTTGGTCTGTGGTCGGGCTTTGGTTTGACTTCGTTGATTTGTAACTTTTCTGGTTTCTTTTCTGTCTTCTCTTCGACAACCTTTTCGGCTTCCCGGCACACCTATAAATTGTAATATGTACATTGTAAGTTTCACAGTACAAGAGCAATCGGAGTTTGAACAACACCGTTAACGCTGGAATTGTTAATTATTATTTTAAGCGCTGATCTACCACGTGCTAGGCGGGTAAAGAAAAAGTGAAAATCGTGAATAAAACCTGCACGCCAACATCATCATTGAGATTCAATGATATTGAGCCGAGTGTGATGGACTCATTGCTTCATATCTCTATAAGAAATGAGGAAGATTCTGTGCTCAGCTGTAAGACGTAAATAGATTGTAATTTGAATTTAGTAGCTTCCTGTATAAATGTATAATCATTCTATAATGTTTGCCCCAACTAATAAGTCTTTCTTATTTTTTGTCATTCTACTATGGTAAGTGTGCTTTTACCATAATAGTAAGAAGTTGCTATTAACTTCTTTTATATAGCAAGGACGACAAACGAGCACATAGTCCACCTGATGAAACAGAGATTTTTTTATTCAATGTAGATTACAAATAATACTTATAGAAAGTCACTCTTACGTATAATTACCACTGCAATGGTTCGAAAAAATAACCTCTGGCCTGGGAAGAACTAGCAAGAAACCAAGCAGGACTCTTTTTAAAAAAACAGCTTACCATCATGTATGTTACACAATTAACTTCTGTGGTATGGTGGTAAGTGGATACTGTGGCCCATAGCCATCTAAATCAATCTACGATCAAGAAATAAAATGCAGATGTGTTGTCACAACTGAGGACTAAGATGGAATGCCTCGTTTCCAGTAAAGAGGGTCTTCGGTTCTCTACACTCACCATACGAAACACAGCAGCATTAGGCTGCTATTTCACGATGGTATTCAGCGAGAGCGTGTTCCTAACCCCGGTCGAGCTGACCCATTACTGCTACAACTAATATAGCTGCAGCATGGCTCTACAACATAAATAAAATCCAAAAAACAACTACAAAATAATTAATAATAGTAACATAATATATTATGTCCATGCTAAGTTACTTCTTGTTCCACGTTAGTCACGATTGGCAGAGGGATATACAATAGCAGAGTACCAAACGACTGCGCGAAGTAAATTAGGGTAATGTGTTTATTAGGCGATATACGTACGTATGTAATTATGTTTGTTTCTTTGTGGCGATCTAGAGAATTTTTACGTCAATCTTGTATCACTGAAGACATGACAGTAATAAAAATTCAATATGACGGCAGGCAATACAATGGCGACAAGCAGTCGCCATATTGTAAGAGAGAAAAAAAATTAAATTCGTCAACTATGTCAAGTGGAGTATCAATGAATAGTACTTTGAAAAGTCATCTTTAGATTTCTCTAGCCATTTTTTTATTTTGAATGATCTTTAAGGATCTATAATGATTTAAATTTGGCTAGCAACCATTTTCACTTAATTATTTTAAGCGGTGCTGGTTTTCTAATTTTTAATTTTTAATCAATAGGCTTGTTCCCATCGAAATAACAACAGAAATAAATGGTGGAATAAATGGTGTTATGAATGCTCTTATGGCGTGAATTCAACAAAATAACAATTGAGTGTGATAGGTTACCTGATCGACGATATGTCTTCCGGCAGCTGCCGCTGCGGGCGGGGGTGGGGGTGGGGCGGGCTGCTTGCGCGGCGTGCGCGGCGCCGGGGGTGCGGGGGGCGCGGGGGGCGACGTGCGCCCGCCGGCACCCGGACTGCCGGGGCTCGCGGGGGACGCGGGGGCGGACGGACTGGAGGCGGCAGCGGTTGGACTCGTGGGGGATGCGAGGGATGAGGGGGTGGAGGCGGGAGTAGTTGGGCTTGTGGGGGACGCGAGGGGCGTGGCCACGGAGACGGCCGCGCTGGCCGGAGACTGCGCCAACGCGGGTGGTGGCGGCGCCGGCCCTTTCTCCTTCTTGGGGGCCTGTAGACAGTATTTCCATTCGTACACAAACACAATTGTATTATAATACCTCTTCAAGTTATTATCACAATTTATTTAAAGGCTTTTATCCTACAAGGATATGTCAGCCTTATCGTGCCATACCTTATTCCTGCTACATGTATAATCATGAGTATTCAGAAAACGGTAATCAATGAGATAGAGATAAAAGGAATACTTTAGAGAGTCATTTATACTTTAACCAAACAAAACATAATTTAAAAATTATATAAAAAAGTAAAGTAGGCCTTGGAGTGCAAACCACTCCAAGGCCTACTTTACTTTGAATGACTATTTTGATTTTTATAGGATAGGGTGACAAACGAGCACACAGTCCACCTGATTGTAAGTGGTTGCTGTGGCCCATAGACATTTACATCTATCCACGTTTGCGAATCAAAATGCAGATGCGTTGTTACCAGTGAGGACTGAGATGAAATGCCTCTTTTCCAGCAAAAAGAGTCTCCAGTTCTCTACACTTACCATACGAAACACAGCAGTGTTAAGCTACTATATTAGGCTGGTATTCTGTGAGAGCATGGTCCTTCCCCGGTCGAGCCGATCCATTCGCGTTACAATTATACTACTAATATAGCTTGCAACATGACTCTTCCACGTATAAAAGAGGACAAGGAAACTTGGAATAATATAAATCTTCTTTAATTTAATATATAAATATTTGTTCAATGTGTAATATATAAATTTTCGTCCATTTAACATGGTATAGTCACGCTACAGCTATATTATGGTTGTAGAACGACGAATGACCACGCTCTCACAATACCGACGTAAAATAGCAGTTTAATGCTACTGTGTTTCGTATAGTAACTGTTCTTTACAGCATACGAAACACTGGAGACCCTTTTTACTGGTAATGAGACATTCCATCTTAGGGGTAATAACACATCTGCATTTTGATTTTTAATCGATAATGCATGTAAATATTTATGGGCTACAGCATCCACTTACCATCAAGTGGACTATGTCTACTTATTCGTCACTCTTAGTTATAGAAAAAACTAAGAGATGAAAATGGTATCAAACGAGTCCATCAATTAAAAATAGATTATAAAAGTTTACTACTGAATAAAGGAATATGCCAATTATGACAAATATCCTCTCTCCTATAAGGGGATCTATGTGGGAGACGTATGTTCAGCAGTGGGTGGCTTTTGAGATAGTGTAATAGGTAATGAAGTATATACTCACGGGCGCCTTTCTGTCAGCCAGCTGGTGGTCGTCGTCGTGGGGACGCTTGGGGGCGGGCGCGCCGGGCTGAGGGGACGGGGGGCCGGCCGCGCTGGCGGGGGTGCGGGGAGCGTGCGGCGCCGGGGGCGTGTGCGGGCTGTGCGGTGTGTGGGGGGCGTGGGGGGCGTGCGGCGTGTGCGGCGCGGCCGGGCTGGGGCTTGCCGCCGGCGGCTCCTCCGACACTGCCAAACATAACAGAAAAGCTTTATTTACTTCAGGCTTTAATGTACTCTTTTATATAATATGTAAACCTACCCCATCTACACTAGTCATAAATATTTAAGGGTAAAAGCTTTTTAGTGAAATACAGGAAAAAAAATTTAAAGCCGTAAACCTTTTTTTAAGACGAGCAAAAAATTAGAATTTTTTTTTCGGTAAAATCCTTAGAATCGGTCCAGAACGAAACATGATAAAAATAATTTAAATTTAAACTCAAGGCCAGATCTAAAAACTAGATATTTGGTTTAGTTTAGCTTAGCTACAATTTGCTTTTTTTTTGCTGTTCAATCATTTTCCTCGGAGTTACAGCTTGTTGAAAATCACCCAAAAATTTAAATTTTATTATATTCCTTAAGTTTTTGACTAGTGTATTTAAAAAGTAAGACCTCTACGGAAGTAAAACTAACTACATTTTTGGTAATAAGTACAATCAATAAAATGTCGATTTAATTCAAATTATTTTTTTCTGGTGATCAATTAAATCGATTACCAACCCGCCAGCCAAGAGTGGCAACTGAGCAGAGGGAGGCCTATGTACAGCAGTGGTGTTTATAGGCGGTAAATATGTAATCCGTTTAAATAAATGTTTTCGTAGACTATGCTAGATTGTTTTATACAGTGCCGACGAAAGAGAATTCACGACACCATAAACACCCCTGGCGTTCGTAAGAGGCATCAGAGGGAAACTGAAACAGTAGATGCTGCATTATCCTGAAAACTCAAAAAAAAAAGCAAGATTGCCAATCCGTCTGTTTAGCGTGGCATCTATGGCAAATATCCTCACTATAAAGCTGTCTGAGAGGCCTATGTTCAGCAGTGAACTTTGGTGTGTTTCGCGTTCGCTATATATTCTACACGTAACAGCTCAGGCGTCCCCCTCTTTAACAGTACTATAAAACATCTCAAACATTTTAAATTGCAATTCGTGTATATACAAGGAATATTTTTCTGTTAATCTTGGTTTTCGTATAATTAATTTAAAAAATAAGTCAAAGATATAAAAAAAAAAACACTTACTCTTGATGTCCGGCGTCTCGCCCGACCTCACCGACGTCGAGTCATCTTCCATCTCCATATGCATCTGAGAGCTGCGATGTTCCTACAAGCACGCAAAGCTAATTTTTAACAAACGTAAATAAATACTTTTTTTTTTAAAACAGTCTATTTTTCGAAGCATATCAGAGGTTCTAATATCCTGATAACTTAGATACTAACTTTTTTTCACACAACACATGTGATGGTAACAGGAAGACTTGTATCATAATTGACATTGATTCTTTCTTTACCAGCCTTATCAGAAGTACTGTTGACTGTAGGCCTCTCCATAAATTGCATTATAGGGGAGAGATTTACCATTGATGCTATTTTTAACAGGCGGGTATACAACTGACTGGAATATGCTGCAACCCATCTCCTGTTTAATTCCTTCTGTCTCCTCTTAGGACCCTCGAAGTATCTCCGGTGACACCTCTTAAGAACGGCTTAAGGAAAATCCACTTACACTTGATATGACAGAATTTTATTTTTATTTTTAGCGTCACTATAGCGGCAGTAATCCTGGAATTTTGGAAAAGCTCAATTCAGGATTGCCAGGCGTGATAAATTCGACACATTGTGATGCTACATATAGATATAATTACCGAAATCATAATCAATCATTTCGTGGCTCATTACATAGATCTTAGCTACATATATAATAAAGTTCAACTATGTTCTTCCTTGTGGGCGGGCATACAAAGTACAATATTTTTTTGATATGAGATCATCTGAAAATGCCGTTTTATTACGATAAACTTCCAACATATTTTTTTAAAGTAAACAATCAATCACCTAACATAAACTTATACTAATATTATTTTAGAGCATTTCTATTTATTATAAGAATGAAGAAATATAAGAACAATAGAAAAAATTAAAAGATACCAAAAACGCTTAAGGTGGAAGCGCCAGAGTCGCCCGCGAAATTCAAATTTTCTTAACGATTTGTGCAATTTGCAGGTCAGTGTCAGGTTATATGTTTAACAAAACATGATTCGCGGCCGTAGCGAAGTATGCGTTTACAGAATTAAAATCATTATAATCGTCAATACAACCCTCTAAATTAATATAATCCCATTGTATGACTATTTCCAGAAAAAACTCAATCAAAGGGATTATATGTGATTTTAATGATAATAATTCCGTAAACACATACTCGTTACGGTCGCGAATCATATTTTGTTAAACATACGACCTGAACCTGACCTGCAAATTCCAAAAAACGTAAGAAAATTTGTATTACGCGCGCCACGCTGGCGCTTTCACCTTAAAAATGAAGCATCATAACATCAGGTAGTATTTTACAGAAAGAAAATGTTACTTTTATAAAATGACACATTCACACCTGAAACATAATCTAACAGATAAAAAACCAAAATGATAGGCACATAGATAAAAAAGAAAAGAAGTGTGTGTACTTATGTACGCACGTAGGAAGTTATACTTCTTTACCGTAACAAAAAAAAAACTCGAGAGACAATTACCCACTGAAGTCGTCGCTTTTATGTGACAGTGTACGCGCGCATCGTAACAACTTCATGGTGTCGTTTTTAACTGTCGGTATGTGCGCGCGCATCGTAAAAATTCACTCTCATCATTTTTCCCAAACGCCCCAAAAGAAGTATAACTTCAATAAAGGTTAATAAATAATAAGGGTGGTTGACACTTAATAGAAATGCTTTTAAACTTTTATATAAATTCTATGGAGGAATAATAATTGTAAAAGACGAAAAGTAAGTGACGTCATAGTAAACATCTTCACTATAACAACATCACTATCACTGGAGTTACAAGTCCATATCTGAACATAGGCCTCCCCCAAAGATTGCTACAATGTACGTCCCGAGCCACCTGCACATCACCCGCGTGTTTCACCAGGTCGGTCACTCCATCTAGTAGGGTCAATCATTTTAGTTGTGTATTTCTGAATAATTAATTAACTTTAATTTTGACCATGCAGTGACGGTGTTAGAATTATCCACTACCCCATATCGTCCCGTAGGTGTCGAAAGAATCGACACAGGGAAACAACACCCAAAATCTAAAAGAAAGACAACAACGTTTTTTTTAATGACAACTTAAAAATAAAAACCTGCGATTACCAACCCACCTCCTGCCGGGCTATGGCAAATATCAACCGTATGAGGCCAATCTATGTGGAGGCCGATTTTCAGCAGTGCACTTTAATAGGCTGTAACGGTAACATACATAACAAATACCCTACGTCTGGGGCAGTCGGGTAAAAAATACTTTATACTTGCTCTGTATATCTGCACACGACTTAGGGCCTGTGCTCACAGACGGTATGGCACGGCGTGTCAAACGATTTTTTTTCGTGGACAAAAGATTGTCGACCTTATTTTAATTAAATTAGCACTGAAAATCCTTTACTTCAACACGAATAGACCGTAACGTCTTGCGCGAAATCGTGGAGTCACTGCATTCTATGAGATGCAGCGGCGCATCACGTGAAACGCATAAGTTACTTCATGTTGTTAAAGGAATGTGACTGCTAAGTAATTGATACAAGATTCAATTTAGCCCGTTACGGCGGCAAATCTAGCCCGTTACGGCGGCAATCTCAGAGCCTCGGGAGAGCGCCCGGTACACGAGCGCTCCTTGACTTATTTGGCATGCCGCGGAATGCCACAGGATCCTTCGGCATGACGCGAGATACCACAGGATCGTTCGGCATATCGAAGTGTGCCTTGCCACTCCGTGCCGTCTGTGGGCGTAGGCCCTTAGGTGGTTGGGATTACCGTATCCGCCACGCGTGGCAGAGGCGGATTGTCAATTTCAGTTGACATTTTCCCTTTTATACTGTTTAGCGTTGTCGTTCTGGCTATTTTTAGCAGTGGGCTTTTCATAGGCTGTAATCGTAACTCAAAAGTAACAAATTCAAATTATAATATGATGTAGTTATTTATTAATAACAGTGTCAACCACCCAATCCTTGCTAATATATAATATAATATAAAAATATACATATAATTATCAATAAGCAGCAAAGCTAAAGATACCTTTAATAAAAATATACAACACATATAGCAAAGCATTATAAAGAAAGACGGAGAGTCGTTTATGTGCCTACGACAAAATCGTTAGTTCAGAAAATTAGGAATCCAGTAACTACTCATTAAAGACAGCGGGACTTTCGAAGGTCTTGCGAAATATTGAAAATAACAATAAGTGGCAGTAGATTAAGAATCTATTCATAACCAATTAGTCCCTTGGGTGTCACAAGCTCATAAGAGACGAACATTGGAAATACCATATAAAATTTAACATCCGTTACTGTTACAGCCTTTTAAAGTCCGCTGTTGAACATTGGCCAATCCCTCTTGCATCTTAAGTGTGATATTCGCTATAGTTGCCACTCTTGGCAAGCAGGTTGGCAACAGCAGTTTTTTTTTATTTTTAATCATTATTGCTGCTGCCGATCTCCTGATTTGTTTCCCTCTGTCGCCTCTTACGACACCCACGGGATGATATGGGGTAGTGGATATTCCTACACCGCCACTACACGGTATGTCCGATAACTGACTCGACATCTAGACTGGCGATGGGAAGCAATCCATCTGACAAGTGTGGCGACTACATTTTAATCCAATATAGGAGATGCGTTTACTTACTGATTATGAACCTTTAAAAACTATTATTTATTTGGAACAAATAAAATAACACACGACACGAAAATGAACGGTAATTCTGTGATAATAAAGCTCAAACTCGCGTGTACCTTCGACGACGACGGAAGCTCTCGCGGCTGGCCGTCCGATTCGCATGCAATGTAAGCCATACACAAACAACACAATTAACGCACGGTGTTCGGACTCATACACACTTCTAACACAGTGATACAACATATTTTGAAGATATGACCTGTAGTGCTTGCCTAGTACACTGTAGGTAGAAATTCAAATCTCACGTAAATCTCAACAGGAGCTAACTTTTTGAGATAGTAGGACTTCTTTTATGTCTAAGGGCCAAAATTAATATCCTATCTATCAACGAATTACCCAACTAAAGATATAATTTTTTACGTTGTAAAGACATGCTGCAGCTATATTGTGGTTGCTACACGAATGGGTCGGCTCGACCGGGGTAGGAGCACACTCTCACGGAATACGAGTGTAAAACAGCAGCTTATTGCTGCTGTGTTTTGTATGGTGTGTGTAGAGAACCGAGATTGTAAAATTGCGAGAAAACATGTTGCTGGCAGCTACACTGCTAGTCCTGGATACAAATCTAGCCTACAGCCTACTTTACTAAGTTGTAATACTCATTTTATGTCTAAGAGTTTATCTAGATTGGTACAACTCCGTGGCTTAACATTAAGTTCTGACACCGTGAGCCGCAGGTTCAAATCCCACATGGAACAGGTATTTGTATGGCCTACAGATAATTATTCTTTGTCTGGATGTTTGTCCCTATGAAATTTATGTTTGAAAACTGCCTTCGCGATACAGGTGATAATCCTGGTTGTGTAACGGTTTTAAAAATTAATTTAAAAAATATACTCTCGCTGCTGTCAAGTAGTATTGCTTGCACTGTTGTGTTCCAGTCCGAGGAGTGTGTCCGAGCACTGTGAGACATTCCGTCTTAGTCCTCAGAGGTGACAACGCATCTGTAACCTTGTTTGTTTGACGTTGGCCTCAGGTGAAGCAAATACTGCAGTAGCCACTTACCATCAGGTGTACCGTAAGTTCCGTTTGTCACATTAATTTTATGAAAAGAAAGTACTCAACAATTGTCGGTTTTGGGGTCTGACTGTAGTGTGACTATTACATTATCTCGGATACAGCATCGAAGTCAGCTTTGTGATTATCACATCAGCACAACTGGTACAGGTAGGTTACCACAAGTGTCTGTATTACCCTGGCCCCAAATGTTGATTTCACTATTGTTAACAATCTATTACAGTTACAGCCTATCAAAGTCTACTGCTGATAATAGGCCTCCCCCATAGGATGCCAAATAGGGGGGATGTATGCCATAGTTGCCACGCTTGGCAAGCGGGTTGGCAACCGCGGTTTCTTATTTAATCGTTATCAGGAAGACGCTGCTGCCCACCTGATTTGTTTCCCCCTGTCGCCTCTTACGACAATCAACAATGTTTCTTGGTAGTTGTTCTTTGTATCCAAATGTTAGAATGCTCTTAGGAAACAGAGTGCATATTTTTTGTAGTAGGAAAAAAAGAATGCCATACTGGTCCAATTTAACAGGTACAAACTCACGGCAAGAGTGAACGAGATCCAATGTGTGGACGCATCGAAAATATTAGCGCGTATAATCCTTAAAGAAACCGCCATAGACCGACTCTATAGAACTCCCAACATTGCCACGAGTATTGGGACCATACTACAATATTTTTACACCGAATTGATATCTTTCAAGTATTCAGAAAATATGACCTTGGTCGAAAACCGTCCAAGATATGATTAGTTTCAAGACCTTATGACACACTTAGTACCACTACCACTAGAATAAGTTCCATCAACACCATATACTAACCAATTCTCTGGTACTGTTCCTTATTTTTAAGTCTGCTTTTCCTTTTAGTCTTTGACCGTCAATCAAAAATTGCAGATCCAATGTTAGTAAGCATGTGAGGAAAGCATCAACACGTGATATATTAGTAAACACATACATAAAAAATATGTTTATCATATACATGTAATGATAGTTAAAGTTAAATTTAATATATAAAAAATTATCAATATATAAAAGTTTATCAGATTGCAGTAAAACTTTGTCAACTGATTGCTTGCACTTGCGCGAAGGTTATAAGCATAGTACAATTAACTTACACTAGGTGGCGCGCGTATTGTACCGACAAATTTATTTGAAAGTTATATATCATTCAACTTCAATGATAATCATTCCTAATTAAACAATATAACTTTCTCATTTTAATATTATTCTGGAAAACTATTAATTTTCAACTACCTAAACACTAGTTATAAGTAAGAACACCACTGGCATATAGCATCAGTGCTAAGCCGGGGCAGCTACTAAATCTATGACATATTTAGCCGGCTATGATATGCCAATTTATAAATATGTAAACTTTACTAAATAACGACATAATCTCACCTCCGAATCGTCGTCGAGCAGCTCCTCTTCGACCACCTCAGCCCTGTACTCGAGCAGGAGATCTCTAAGCGGCTTCGAGTCCAGGTCCCCACTGACAAAATCGTGCTTGAGTAGATCGCTCGACGTCGGCCTTTTCTCCGGGTCCTGAAATGACACAGCATTAATAATAACAAAGCTCATATTAATATTTTATTTCATAAAAAAACGTGCGTACTCCCGAAGATAGTATATCTACTATGTTCTCTCCTTATAATTGATCCTGGTACTTAGAAATGAGGATATCCGCAGTAGAACCAGACCAACTGACATAACCAAACGGATTAGTAAGCTGAAGTGGCAATGGGCCGGTCATATAGCTCGAAGAATCGACAACCGAAGGGGAAGGAAGGTTCTAGAGCGGCAACCTCGAACCGGTAGGTGATGTGTAGAGCGGTTTTATAATACATGCAGGAAGTCGATGGAGTGCAGGTGGCTTAGGACCGTGCTTTGTGGCACACCTTGAGAGTGGCCTACATTCAGCAGTGAACTTGTTTCTTCAGATACATAACTTACTAGAATAATTTCTCATTGTATTGTATTGATGAGATGTTATTCCTACTCCAAATTGATTCAAAATTAAGTTGCATGACTCAATCTGTAAATGTTATATGTATACTTGTAATTGATATGTATATCAGAGAGTATATTATAAATGTGTACGTTTTTGTGATAGTGTCATATAGTGTATTATAAGTGTACTTGTTAAATAAATAAAAAAACATGCGTGAGTGTCGTGGAACACTCGGTTGGAACGAAGTTCCTTTCGTAGTATATTATTATTGATAAACGTCTTATATTATTGATTAATAAATACATATAAATGAATTACTAGCGTCAATTAAAATGACATTATCGAGGTCGTCTCATAGATCTCAGAGTACTGCAACCGATAATGATCCATTTGAATGACTCTGTTCGTAACACGAGTCAATACTTGAATGATCGCGTCACCAGAAATGAATGAATGACACATGTCTAAAAGTGCGCTTTCCGCCATTCTGACAAGACAAATCTCTGACGTCAAGAAACCTAGACTTAAGTTCAAGGTCATAGCCGGGGTCAGAAATGGTGTACCTTGACGAGCGCCTTGGCGATGAAGTCGTTAAAGGCCTTGCTCCAGCGCGAGGGCTGGTCGAGGCCGGGAGGGTCGCTCTTCTGTATCTTTAGCAGCACCCGCATCGGCGTCATCTCGTGGTTGGGCGGCTCCATCTGGGCGAACTCGATCAGCGTGATGCCCAGCGACCAGATGTCCACCTGTTGGGCAAAATTTTACTTTAGCATTAGTTCGTGGTATAGCTACGCTGCAGCTGTATTGTGGTTGTAATACGAATGACTCGGCTCGGAGGACCACGCTCTCACAGAATACCAGCGTGAAATAGCAGCTCAATGTTGCTGTGTTTCGTATGGTGAGTGTAGAGAACTGGAGACCCTTATTACCGGATATGAGGCATTTCATCTTAGTCCTCAGGTGTAAGAGCGCATCTGTATTTTGATTCGTAATCGAGGATAGATGTAGATGTCCATGGGCCACAGCAACCACTTACCATCAGGTGGACTGTGTGCTCGTTTGTCACCCTTAGAATATAAAAAATATATATATTTAACAAGCACGAGACTATCGGCCGAATACTCAAACGTTACTTAATTCTAAGATATCGCTAAGTCTCGTGGTGTCACTGTTATTTAGACTTAGGTTAAATTTACATTGCGGCGGAATGGAGGGGATGCGAATTTTTGTAACGAAATTGTACATAGTAAAATGAATTTTATGTTAATTGGGTAACGCGCAAACTAGGAGCAAAAAAAGAAGTCGCGCGTCTTCCGTGACGTTTCCGTCTACGGAAAATATTAAAATGATAGAGACAGCACGGGACTCAACGGCATCATAAAATTGAGTAATGTAGTATTTGGGCATATTTCTGAATTTAATAAAAAAAAAAGAATCCTTTAAATTGGTTCGGTCGTGATTGAAAAATCAGAAAACATTGATAAAAAAACCCATGTGTTGAATTATATATTCATCCTCCTTATTTCGAAGTTGATTACAAATAATTACCAAGACAGGAATCTGTTGGTTAGGATAATCTCACTTCCGGTAAACAAATGAACGGAAAATATGTTGCATTTTGTTTCAACAAAATGAATAACATCAGACTGCGATTTTTCACCTAGAGTTACATCACCACTTACCACCACCGGGTTAGGTCCGTAGTGAAGCATTGGTTTATAATAGGTAGAAATAAAATAAAAATTAACGGATTTAAGTCTATTATTATTGAATGTTTAATAATAATAATAAAACATTCATTGACCATAAGAAGCAAAGTGCATAAAAAGTGCTCGGTTGGAACGAAGTTCCTTTCGTAGTATATTATTATTGATAACATATATTATTATTGATTAACAAATATAAATAAATGAATTACTAGCGTCCATTAAAATGAAGAGTCATTTAAAATATCATATAAAAAAAAGACGGCTTCGTGGCGTAGTGGCTTAGCAATGAGTTGCAACGCTTGGGCCCGCGGTTTCGAATCTCGCACAGAACAAGTATTTGTATGGCCTACAAATAATTGTTCCGGGTCTGGATGTTTGTCCTCGTGCAATTTGTGTTTGTAAACTGCCTCAACGATACAGGAGAAAATACTAGTGTGGGGGTAACGTTTTTTAAAAAAGAAAAGAAAATAGAATAATATTTCTTTCATGGCAAGATAAGAAAAAGTGCGAGGGAGATGAATATTATTCCATCTCGCTGGCACTATAGACAGGGGGTCGTGGCGGAAAAATCTTATACTTTTTCTCGCCTAGCCCCGTCCATCCGCCAATTTGGTACCGTCTGATAAGGAACTTGGTTCTAATAAATTCCTATATATATTGTATGTATGTATGTAGGTCACCGTATATTCAAGAAATATTTCATTTCAGTAAATACAAAGTACATGTAAAAACTGTTTACACAATTAGGAGTATCAGGTGTTACTGTACTGAATCCCATTTATATAAAGACGTTAAAAATTATTTCACAAATATTAACAATTTTTTACACCACGTTACCTTGAAATCATATGGGTGATCTCGAAACGTCTCGCAAAGGACCACTTCCGGCGCCATCCAGTACGGAGTTCCGATAAACGTGTCGTGCTTCTGCAGCGTCGACTTATTCTTCGCCGACACACCGAAGTCAGCTGTGAAATAAAACAAAATGGTTCAAATACAATAATTGTAATCAACATTCAATCAATGTTAGGGTTAACTCTAAATTATAGGAATAAGTAGGAATAGGAATGCGCTTCCCTTAGCAATAAGAAAATCCCCTAACAAGTGGATTTTGAAAACAAAAGTAAAAGATCATTACTTGGGCTCATCTGACACATAAATATACATAATATAAACTCATAAAAATAATATAATAAATGAAATATATAATCTATTATATAAAAGCAGTAGGACGTAAATAGGCTGCACTATTTACGTCCTACTGCTGGGCACAGGCCTCCTCTCATCTCTGAGAGGGTTTTAGGACAAGGAAATGTCCGCCGAGCTGCCCCAATGCGTGTTGGCGAACTTCACATGTCTTCGAAATATTTTTTTTTCTTATTTCTCAGACATGCAGGTTTCCTCGCGATGTTTTCCTTCACCGCCGAGCACGTGGTAAATCAGCACTTAAAATTGCAATTAAGAATTTCATTGGTGCCGGCGGGGATCGAACCCGGGTTGCTCGAGTGCTGTGAAGCTTACAGCGAGCGCTAACCATCTGAGCTACCATGGCTCTATCTATTATATATTTATATACATTTAAATAAGTAAGATCTGCGTGCGCGCGCGCGCGCGTGTCTGACTCTGTGTGTGTGTGACTCTGTGTGTGTGTGTGTGTGTGTGTGTGTGTGTGTGTGTGTGTGTGTGTGTGTGTGTGTGTGTGTGTGTGTGTGTGTGAGAGAGTGTGTATGTGTGTTTGTGTATATGTATGCGTGAAATTTATCAATTTTAGGTTTTCAACGTAACTCACTGCAGTACACAATTCACTCACAAACTTTCCGGGTGGCTGGTAGAAAATGCCATATTAAATGCATATATTAAGTCCGCCGTTTGTACCTTTAGTACAATAAAGTGTATTAAGAAAGGAACTCTTCTGATATTTATATGCAGAAAGAATGTACGAGGTAAAAATTACAAAACAAACTGCAAGAGTGGTAGAGTTAGTATGGGATGCTCTACAGGAAAAATTATCGACCAAATTGGCGACATATTAAAGATGGGCCAAATTAAGAGTACCCAAAGCCGAATAGCATGTAAGCGTATAGATATATAAATGTGAAAGAAGCAAGAGAGGTGTGTCAAATGAAAGTGTGTAGTCTCTACCTATCCCTCTGGTTGACAAGCGTGACAGTTTAAATCATTGTCACAATCGCTTAGAAGACCTAAAGTAGCAGCTGACATATGACTCCAGCAACCCCAGGATCCTGATAGGACAGGACAATTGGAGAATTCTGCTAGCCACTCGAGTCCGCAGAAATCCGCCGCACCAGCCGATCGCCTTTTTTTATTAATGAATAAGGATGACAAACGAGTATGCCGTGTACCGGAAGGTAAGTGGATTCTGTGACCTATATACATCTAAATCTATCCTCGCGTATCTATGGTATCAGACGCATTGTCACCTCTGAGGACTAAAATGGAATGCCTCGTTTCTAATGAGAAGGGTCTCCGGATCCCTACACTCACCATACGAAACACAGCAGCATTCAGTTGATATTTTACACTGGTATCTTGTGAGAACATGGTCCTTCACTGGTCGAGCCAACCAATTCATACCACAATTTTAATATAGTCACAGCATGGTTCTATCACATATAAAATATATTATCCATCCGTCTATCCATTACAGTCCATAAAGTTCACTGCTGAACGTAGGGCTCCTCCATAGATTTCCTCATAGGAAAGATTTCACCATAGTTGCCACGCTTAGTGAGTTGTTATTAGGAAGATGCAGCTGCTCATATTCTGTTTTAATTTCCCTCTGTCGCCTTTTGCGACATCAACAGGACATGGGTTAGTGGATATTCTAACACCACCACTAAACGGTTTATAGAGTTATGGCGGGAACTTGACCGGCGGCGGTTTGCTGCTCCTGTATTATTGTTTAAATAATGGTTCGAAATGGATTTTAATATGTAAAAGTGGCGCAATTTTGTGTATTAAGTGTCTGCGCATGTGAACTATTAGTGGAAACTGTGAAACAAGTGCTCTAATGGTGATGTGAGTCTCAAGTTAAGGTGTCTATCTACTTAGGCGCCTTGAGATACCATCGCCAACTGTAAGCTGTCTGCTGGCTCAAGTTGCCGTCTAATCTCCCAAGGGCTGCACAATGTGACGCATCAACATATTGTGAAGCAGTGTACTATGAAGGATAATTATACATTACAACTTCAGGCTCAGAAGGGCTAGAACCCAGACCCTTAAAATCAGTTATAAAAAAATACGGTTTATATTTTAGTAGCCAGGTGAAACCAGCACTGACCAAGCTTGACGCCGCCGGTCATAGTGGCCAGCACGTTGCCGGCCTTCAGGTCCCGGTGGATGACACGCCTGGAGTGCAGGAACTGGAGCCCGCGACACATCTCGCGGCACACGTACGCGATCTGCGCCTCGTTCAGCCCCTTCTCCAGTTCCGACATCACCGAGTCCAGGGCACCACCGTCGCAGTACTCCAGCAACATCTGTGGACCGGACGGGGAGCTCTTGTTATCACTAGTTGAACAGCGGGGTTAGACAAATTGATTTTCTAAATCTTGTTAATGATAATAGAAATTGATTTTATTTATTTTTATAATTTTTTACAAACATTACGGCGGTGTCGGGGCTGCAAATTTTTTTTAAGAATAGGTTTTTAGGGATGTATTTTTGTCACTATGAGCCCAAACGACTGAGCTAGACAACTAAGATGGAATGCCTCTTTTCCAGTAAAAAGGGTCTCTGGTTCTCTACACTCACCATACGAAACACCACAGCGTTAAGCTGCTATTTTAAAGCTAACCCCGGAGTAGACATTAAAACACATTTATATGAATACTAGACATTATATTAATTTTTATGATGGATTTTATCACATTGAAGTAATTAGAAAGTCTCGGCTTTTCTAATACCTTTCAGCATCCTTGATCCATCCATCATGAGGTCCCGGGTTCGAATCCCGGGTCGAGCATTGTTTGGCTATATCAGTTTTTGAAAATTTCCATCAAGAAATTCTCAGTAGCTGCCCGGAGTCAGGAAGTAGACGGTGTTTCACCCCCATGCCTCCCGTAAAAGCCGTAGGTCCTGCGCCTGATATCCCTCCGATCGTGTCGGTTTACCGACCCATCAGACTATGAGAGAAGGAATAGAGTGTGCACCTGTGCTTGTGCATACACTTGGCCACTACAATCCTGTCCTGCGCCGATGGCTAGTCTCCGTTGAGGATGGCCGCCGTGACCGAAATTCGGTCTGGAGGACGCCGAAACTTAGTCGTTTGCGACACGTATTAGAGCCCAAGGGTTCAAAATAACTTAGTCTGTGTTATAGAGGTACTCAGTGCTTCCAACCATGCGTCCCGCAATGCCGCACCGATTTTGTACGCTGTATCTGTTCTAGTAATATATTACTTTAAAGATTTGGTCTGGTCCCAAGTTGACACTCTCATCATCATCATCATCATAACAGCCCTTCACAAGTCCACTGCTGAACATAGGACTCAAGGAATGCCACAAAGCCGGACCTGAGCCACCTGCATCCATCAACTTCCTGCATGACTTATCAGGTCGTCACTCCATCTAGTGGGTGGGCTTTCCTCCCCATCGAGTGTTCTTCGAGTTAAATGGCCGGCCCATTGCCACTTCAGCTTACTAATCCGTTGGGCTATGTCGGTTACTACGTCGCTTACGGTCGGTTATTACGGTTATATTATCTAAGTTGCTCATGTTCCACTCACCCAGAGCTTGTTGTCGATGAAATACGCCTCGTGTAGCTCCACAACGTTGGGGTGTCGACATTCCGAGAGAATGTCGATCTCCACCGTGAAGTCGGCGAGATCATCCTCGTTGTCCAGGACGCACATCTTCGCCGCGGCCAGCTGGCCTGTTGTCTTGTGCTGGGCTTTGTACACCTGGAAGAGAGGATACGTTTCATCATGTTTTTTACAGTTATATAATGACATGAGCTAAGACTAAAATTTTACAGTATACCAGCGTACAGTAGCAGCATAAACCGTATGGTGCCGGTTAAGAATATCCACTACCCCATTTGTCCCGTGGGTGTCGTAAGTGGCGATAGAGGGAACATGAAACAGGAGATGGGCAGCAGCATATTCCTGAGAACAACTCATATGCGGTTGCCAACCCGTTTGCCGAGCATGGCAACTATGGCAAAATTTCCCCATGAGACAATCTATAAGGGAGGCCTATGTTCAGCAGTGGAGTTTTTGTAATGGATAGATATAGACGGTTGCTGTTTCGTATGGTAAGGGTAGAAAACCGGAGACCCTTTTAACTGGACACAACAACGCTTCTGCATTTTTTGATTTTTTATGTTGTAGATGCACGCATATTTGGGTCACATCCTATAAAGTCATAGTTCTCCTAGCGACAATATAGCACACTATGGGAGACGACACAGTGCGTGTTCCAGTTTATGGAATCAATTCGATAACAGGCTGTGAGGCTTTCTATCTTAGAATTCACAGTTGGCGGTTTGATATTGGCCGCAGGTGTACGGACTTCCATTTAGAGATAAAATGGAAGTCCGGACTAAAAGTAAAGCAGGTTCAGCGTACCTTCCCGAAGGCGCCATCGCCCAGCTCGCCGATCATGTCCCATTGGTCATTTGGGTCGCAGTTGTCGCGGATGTTGCTGAACACCTTTTTCTTCTTCGCATCATGGCCGCTACCCAGGTGCAGCACCTGAGGAATGAGGATCAATTTACACCCACATACACTAGAACACTTGATGATCGAGTAAAAGTAAGTAAAGTTGGTCTATATCCATCCATAAGATGGGCTCAGGCCTCCTGTTAGTTTTAAAAGGATACCTCGAAAATAAATCGTTGTTTTAGGGGCGTGGCTTAGCAGTTTGTCGGTGAGACTCATCGACGACTGAGGGAGTGTCAAAATGGAAGTGATGCAATATACTTCATGTGATTTTAGATATGATTATTTACTATACATTAAAAATAATTCCATGAACTGATTCGTAAAAATATTGTGGTGGCATGGAGAAATGTTACTAAAAGAGTCTACTTTACAATTTATTTATCGAGAAAATTACGTTATCGTTTTTTTTTTTTTATAAGAATAGGGTGACAAACGAGCATACAGTCCACCTGATGGTAAGTGGTTGCTGTAGGCATAGACATCTACATCTAATGTGGAATGGAATGGACTAAGCTGGAATGCCTCGGCTCCAGTAAAAAGGGTCGCCGGTTCTCTACACTCACCATACGAAACACAGCAGCGTTAAGCTGCTATTTTACGCTGGTATTCTGTGAGAGCGTGGTCCTTCCCCGGTCGAGCCGACCTATTCGTGCTACAACTATACCACTAATATAGCTGCAGCGTGGCTCTACCACGTCCAGAAACGTGTTTTCCTTTTATTAAATCCAAGGTAACATAGTCAAAAATCATATACCAAAAATTTGGTAATCGTAATCTATAAAAATTAAAGAACCATGTGAGATAGAAAAACCACCAAAATTTCGAGGTATCACCTCAAGAAGGTTATGGAGAAATGTGTCCATTGTGGTGCTCCAGGGCATGTTGACGGACTTCAAATGTCCTCGAAATTATAACTCATAGACGAAGGGTATCCTTAGAGAACGTGTTGAATCAACACTTAACTATTAACTACTTCATTAGTGGCAGCGAGTTTCCAACACTGCTCAATGGAGTACTCACAGTACGTATTGGCAGCGAGCGCTGAGCGCCTGAGCACGGCTCTTGAAACTACTTATTGTTTTTATTTTTAAAAAGAGTCTGCAAATGAGCATGCGGTTCATCTGATAGTAATTGACCACCATAAACAACTGCAAGACCAGAGAAGATGCAGGTGCGCCGCCGGCCTTTTTAAAAAGGAACAAACTTTTCTTTCGTCGTGTTGCCTGTGATGACATATAAATCTGAGACGTGGTCCTTCACTGCTGGTCGTATGAGGAAGTTCAAGGTCGTTCAGCGAGCTATGGAGAAGGCATTGCTCGGGGTTTTTCTGCTTGATAGGACTTAGATATTAAGATATCCGCAGTAGAACCAGAGCAACTGACATAGCCCAACGGATTAGTAAGATGAATACTATTAGCTAGCAATTAGTAAGATGACAAGCAAAGATTCTCGAGTGGTCCCTCACGAGATGGAGTGACGACCTGGTACGATATGCAAGAAGTCAATGGATGCAGGTGGCTCAGGACCGTGTTTTGTATCATTCCCTGGGGGATGCCTACGTTCAGCAGTGGACTTTTAAAGGACGGTAATGATGGCGCTCTTTTCTTGAAGATCCCTAAGTCGTATCGATCCGGAGACAGCGGGTTATCTAACAGTAAGATCTAAGTTACCCTCAAACCGAGCCTAAACAAGTTTGTACTTCAAAAATTTATGTTAACCGACGTACTGATGATGTAACTGTGTAGTGTTTAAAAACTTTATTACTAAACATTATTGAAAAAAGTTTCTGATTTCAGTACAAAAATCCAGCAAATCGGCATAAATGGTATGGTTCATACATTCTCGATGCTAGCATAGCATGCATGCACGCACGCACGCACGCACGCACGCACGCACGCACGCACGCACGCACGCACGCACGCACGCACGCACGCACACACGCACGCACGCACGCACCCACGCAACATCCACTACCCCATATCGTCCCGCGGGTGTCAAAAATAGGACAGAGGAAAATTAGAAGAGATGATGGACAGCAGTGTCTGATAAGAACTCAAAATATAAAAAATTGCGGTTGCCAACCGTGGCAACCAAGTAACCATTTCAAAATCCCTATGAGGCAATCTATGGGGGAGGCCTGATTTTTAGCACCGGACTTTTATGGGATGGAATGTAGTGAAGACGTGGCAAAGAGTTATACCTTCTTGAGATTGTTGAAGAACGACATGTTGCGTCACGTTGCGCGTGGTGGCGCGCGGCGCCTCAGCCGCCTTTACTCATCCTGCTGTGCCTTCCATGGACCTGTCGGAAGAAGATCAAATTAATAAACTTTTAATTTTACACGTGATAAAGCCACTCTGCATATATATTATGACTGTAGCGGCACTGTCATCGTGCCTCAAGCGAAACGCACCGAAGCCTTAATCACGCTTTATTTTTTTATTATAGGATAGGGTGACAAACGAGCACACAGTCCACCTGATGGTAAGTGTTTGATGTGACCCATAGACATCTACATCTATCCACAATAAAGAATCAAAATTCAGATGCGTCGTCACCTGTGAGGACTAGGATGGAATGCCTCTTTTCCAGCAAAATGGGTCTCCGGAGACCCCTTTTTACTGGAAACGGGGTACCTATTCCATCTTAGTCCTCACGGGTGACAACGCATCTGAATTTTAATTCGTAATCGAAGATAGATGCAGATGCCTACCATACGATTTTGGCCATTTCTTTAAATCAAACCAATCAGTCACAAACGACCGATTGATGTACAAGGTGCTCCTCCTATAATGGGGAAGGGTTTACCGTAATCACCACGCTGGGTGCATAATCACTACAGTGACCACTGTGGTACTTCTACAAAGAGCCAATACATACGTACGTGCCACCACCGTAATATAGCCGACAACCTCGTTGGACTAGTGGTTGTAGTAGTCCGATAGCTGACCATGAGGTCCCAGGTTCGAATACCGAGTCGGAGGAACAAAGGAATCAGTTATTGAGTTTTTCCTTCAAGAAATTCTTTGTAGCTGCACGGAGTCAGGAAGTTTGGTGGGGCCTGCGCGTGATCTCTCTCCGGTCGTGTCGGTTTACCGTCCCATCGGACTATGAGAGTTAGAGAATAGAAAGTGCACCTGTGTTTATACTATAATCACTAGGCACACTATAATCCTGTCCTGCGCCGAAGGCTAGCCTTTGTTGAACCTGGCCACCGTGGTCAAAATCCGATTTGGAGGACATTATAATGACTGCAGGATTTCTCTATCACGTAATAATTTTTGGGATTGAACCCCGCGGCCCTGCAAAGTCGCAGCCAACTCACGTCCTGCACCACCGACTCGTCAACTATACAACAAATATAGCTACACTAAAAGGCTTGCAGGTCGATTTCTGTGACACCTACAAGATGAAAGGCAAAATGGTCACATTCACATTCATCTAAAACAACGTAGACCGACAAGCGAACATTTATTGCTCATATTTACTACATATATTTGAAAACACGTAACACTTTTGCGAGGCAACCTTGCTTTGCGTCCTTGCTGGAGATAACGCGGCAAACTGTTAAGCGATTATAGCATTTAATAAATAGCAATTTTGGGTTATTGTCGCGTGACACGTGAGGCTGCTTGGGAGGAAATAAATCGCGAAATATTTTTAAGGCTTCGTGTATAGTCTAAGTTATGAGCAATGGTCAAATATAAAATCGCACAATTTGGACAGTAGATAAATAAAATCACATAAATTTACTTTATAATTTACTGTACATAATCATTAGGTACTATAATTGTATCGTTTTTAATATTTTTTATATAAGATAGGGTGACAAACGAGCACACAGTCCACCTGATGGTAAGTGGTTGCTGTGACCCATAGACATCTACATTTACCCTCAATAAAGAATCAGAATACAGATGCGTCGTTACCCGTGAGTAGTAAAATGACTAGTAAAATGTGTCTCCGGTTAGTGTAGAGACACTTACCATACGAAACAGCAGTGTCAAGCTGCCATTTCACGTTGGCATTCTGTGAGAGTGTGATCCTTCCGCGGTCGAGCCGACCCATTCGTGCTGCAACTATACTACTAATATATCTGCAGCGTGGCTCTACCACGAATGAGCCATATACCTCGCAGAACCAACAACTGTTGGGAAAACATCGTTCTCGAGTGGCGATGTCGCACCGGCAGGAGAAGTGTGGGGCGGAATGACAACCTGGTAAGACGTGCAGGACGTTGATGAATACAGGAGGCACCGAAACGTGCTTTGTGGCATTCCTTGCAATAGGCCTATGTTCAGTGGACTTGTGAAGGGCTGTAATAATGATGAATATAAAAAATGTTCAAATCGAAATTTAATCTTTCTTTAAATAACTCCCACATTTTCTTTAGCCTGAATATTATGTCACTAGTTTATCGTTACTGTGTTGCTTGGTAAATGTAGTTAAAAGCACCATTTAACATTTTCTCACACATTCACATTATTTCAAAGTCACATTATGTATAATTCTCAGCTAACTGAAGAAATACCAAACTTTTACTTTCATAATATGAAAAGCGAGTCCACCCGATAGTTAGTGGATTCTGTGGCCCATAGACACTATCCTCGATTAAGGAACAAAAACTACACTCTTTCTGTGAGAGCGTGGTCATTCTCGGGTCGAGCCTTAAGTTGTTCGTGCTGCTACCTATAATTAAAACAACAATTAAAATATTTCAAGCAAATACAGAGCAAGTGTATATAAGGTCTACAATTCTACAAATAATAATTCCGTGTCTGGATGTGTGTCCTTGTGAAATTTATGTACATAAACCACGTTCACGATGTATGAGAAAATCTCACTGTGTGGGGTAACATGTTTTTTAACAATGAAATAAAAAAAAATGCTTTGTAATCTATCACTCCTAACTTGGGCCAGCTACCAAATGATTCATTAAAAGTATTTTATTAATAGCGCTTCTTTTATCGTGGTGCGCGGACGGGTTTCCGCCGACAGCGCAGCGCGATATCAATGAAGTGCTTCCATTTCAATTTCATTATAACTATATTATGTTGTTACATATTGTGACTCGTGTGTTGTTTTATTTATTATCATTGAAATAATTAATTATTTCTAAGCCTAGTTCGAGCGATGTATACGAAGCCTAAGCATTTAAATATAGTTCTCTACTGCGTTACCTTTGTAACGGAATCAATAATTCTATATCATTATCTCTATCTATATTATAATATTATCGTCGGAATATATTATTATGTATTATTATCATCATTGTCATCAACATTACAGTCCTTCACAAGTCCACTGGTGAACACAGGCCTCCCGCCAGAGAATGCGCCACAAAGCACGGTCCTGAGCCACCTGCATACTTTACCAAGTTGTCGTCAGTTATTAAATGACTTCAGTTTTGTTAAAAAGGGTACCTCAGATATGGTTCTATATAAATTTGGTCAAGATCTGATGATGGGACACACCACGTGTCACAAAATTCTACGTTAAGCGGGCACCGGGTAGTGGACAAATTGATGAATACCCAGGGAAAAAAATCGGAAATTTTTTTTTAGTTATAACTTTCTTTAAATTTTAAAATTGGACACGCTAGGATATCTCAAAAGGTACTGGTCAGACCTTGATCAAATTTATACGGGAACACACGAGAAGCACCAGCTATCAAATAAAAAAAAAAACATCGAAATCGGTCACCCAGAAAAAAGTTATGAGGTAACACACATACATATAAAAAAACATACAGTCGAACTTAGTACCGGCTCGTTTTTGAAGTCGGTAGAAAAATAATATCTCTCTTTCTGAACGAAAACAAATTCGTATACGACTAATACGCGTCACTCAAACATTGGTTTACTCGTAAGGTTAAAGACGGTGAATCGTAGTGTATTAAAAATTACAAATGCACGCCGGTGACGTCGCCCATCTTGGCTCGGCGATGATATCATTTCTATCTCATTAAGGAAGCTGTCTGTGTGAGACAAAAATCTTTGTCGCGTATGACACGTAATTTAATAGAACAAGAGAAATATTTTAATTTTAAAATATTTAATGCACTTAAAGTCTAGAATCCACCATCTTATCTGCCACCAGGACGGCACCACTTAAAAACGGGTGTAAAATTTAACAGATTTCATAGCGAGGAAGTTGATTTGTTCGATAAAGGTAAATATTAATGTTTCATTTTGTACTTTTAATTACATTTTATATTAATTAAATTAAAAATAAATAAGCCAAACTGTCTGTGACATTCAAAAAATACAAAAATTAAAAAAAAATGTTTTTTTTATGTACGCACGTAAGAAGTTATCCTTTTTTTCTTACAAAAATAAAACATGTTTTATAGATTCATATATTTGAATAACTACCTTGAATATAGTTATCAGTTCTCACGAAAACTTGAAAGTTGACAGACAATAACCAACTGACGTTGTCACTTTTGGGTGTCGGTGTGCGCGCGCATCGTAACAACTTCATGGTGTCTAACGACACCATGAAGTTAGGTGTCGGGGTGCGCGTGCATGGTAAAAATTTAATTCTCATCATTGTTCTCAAACGCGCCAAAATAACTTCAAAAAAGTTAAATATGTGCAAAAAAATTAAGAGCAACCCACTGACGCATTGTTTTGTACATTAATAACACTAGAAACTGATAAGCTTTTATTTAAAACTAACTTCTCAATTAAATGACATTGTGTACAAAAAACTTCACCTCGGTGTCAACTAGCGACAACTGGTGAGCGGATTATTAGCTCAACGCTGCTGTGTTTCGTATGGTGAGTGTAGAGGAGCGGAGACCCTTTTTACTGGAAAAGAGTGTGAGTGACAACGCATCTGCATTTTGATTCGTCATCGAGGATAGATGTATATGTCTATGGGCCACAGCGACCACTTACCATCACGTGGTAGCTATATAGACATACATAGACATTTACATTTATCCTCAGTTTAGAATCACAATGCAGATGCGTTATGACTCCTGAGAACTAAGATGGAATGCCTGGTATCCATCCAGTAAAAAGGGTCTCCGGTTCTCTACACTCGTCATACGAAACACAGCAGCGTTAAGCTGCTATTTTACGCTGGTATTCTGTGAGAGCGTGGTCCTCCGAGTCGACTCATTCGTATTACAACCATAATATAGCTGCAACGTTGCTCTTACCACGTGTGTGTTCAACTTGCTTCACTGGGTTCTAAGGTCTTTCACCTGTTAATCTGTAT